CTGCTGTCAGAAAAGACTAAGTCCATTCATCCATGACCCTAGCCACTACATAGGAAAGATAAACGTTTTGAAGGGTCAATTTTATATAATTATGTACACAGCACCAGCATATCTGTCATGGCAGGCTGGTGCAGGGTGGCAAGCTCTTTTCCCTCATCGTTTTTCCTTAAAAGTCCTGGGTCCACTTTTAAAAGAGAATTTCAGGCCAAATATTGAAATCTTCTTTTAGACCAAAACCTTGTCTACTTTATAAGCGGCCCATAGCAGTCCACCAACTAAAATGTAATAATTGGTCTGAAATATAAGCTATGATTTCACGCTATAAAACAGGTGTAATTATTTAATTTCACTGAACAACTACAGATTTGTCTTGAACCAAAGTAGAATCAAAGTTAAGCCTATAAAAGTTCGACCAATACTTGGACTTCAGTTCATTAGTGAAAAAAATCTCCAAGTAGACTACACTTGACAACATGGGGAAATTATTTCAATTTTGGTATCTTTTTTTTCTGTTAAATCTTGTGAATATGTATCACTAGCATAAACTTCAAAACTGTACTGTTAAAATATCTTATTTTTTCTTCACATAAGCCTAATTAATAGATACAACAGTGGGGCACAGGTGGCATAATCTTTAGGGGAGTGACAATCTGTGTCCATTTACCTGTATTAAATGTTTATCATTACCTTATTTACATCCATTAGCAAATTCAAAAACTCATTTACTTGTACAGAATATGAGGGCTGTTTCTGAATCAATTGGACCTCATATAAATCATGATCCAATGGCAATTGTTAATTTCCCTATAAATAAACAACGATCAGAATTTAAGCTTGCCCAGAAACATTTTACTTATAAATGAATATTTTTCATGTGCAACCTACCAGGTGCTTATAAATTTAAAGGAATGATGCAGAATAGGGAAACTGCAAAAGTCTTATTGTATTAAATTAATAATATTATAGTTGTGAAAACATTCTTTCCAAAACAAATACATCACTTATGATACGAATTCCACAAACTTTTAAACAAAGTTTCCTTTGGTCCCCAACTAAAAAAGTGGGGGTCATTTTTAAATCAGTTGGGATCACCCTGCCGGAATGTGGGGGCAATTCTTCTCAAAATTTCCCAGTGACCCCATATTTACTCTTATTCAAAACCTGTAAATGTATGCTTGTGTTTTATTAACTTAGGCCTTGCATCATACACTACACAAATAAAACTGAAACAGAATCCCTATACCCTTCTACAGTAGGACCGACTGCGTATTTGTTCAAATATCAAACAAACAATTTTGACAATAATGGAACAAAAAAGGTTAGCCTACAGTTTAATCTTTTCTTCCAGTATATAGTGAAGGATTAGGTGACATATCATTGAAAAAAGTACCTGGCATTTCCATAATGTTGTGCTCATTGAAGGTATGTCATTCATAAAAAAGCCAATATATATAACAGCCATTTTTTTCTGAAATTTGCATTTGAATTACCTGCTTCTTTCATTTTATTTTACTTATATTACTGTCATTCTTTGCTAGTGGTTACAAAATGTTGAATTTGACCGAAAATTTCAAACTTTCTCTGGGAAGCTGTAATTTTGCGATGNCATTCTTGTTATGGTCCCCCCGCAGTGCACCACTAGCAAAGAATGACTGATTATCATGTCAAGTGAGATGCTAGTCGTAACATGACAAAATATGGGGACTATAAAAATACATTAGTCACAAAAATAACATGGAAGTGCTATTTCTAGTTTTCTTTTATCCCATCTGAAAATGGATTATAACAATTCTTTTTCAGGTCTGATTTTCTTAACTTGTTTTCAATCATACAATATCTAGCTTTGGCGGCTACATTTGAAGGTTTACCATCAATATGTTGCTCTTTAAGGAAACACTTAACTGGAACCAATGCATTTTAACTGATGCGGCCAGTTCAAATGACCAAATAACAATTCTTTTTCAGTTCTGATTTTCTTAACTTGTTTTCAATCATAAAAATATCTAGCTTTGGCGGCTACATTTGAAGGTTTACCATCAATATGTTGCTCTTTAAGGAAACACTTAACTGGAACCTAAAATGTACACAATCCAGAAGACCAGTATATTAACTTAAAGTACCATTAACAATGCATTTTAACTGATGCGGCCAGTTCAAATGACCAAAATATATAAATTGCAGTTCTAGCATGTCACTTTCAAGTCAGTAAATGTTTATATTATAAAGTCAGGCCAGCCATTCATATTATATGCAGCAGACCTGCTCTTCTTATCAGACTTAGTGCTTGTGTCAATCACTAGTACTGACAAGAGCATACATCTCAAAAACAACCTAAAATGCCCAGGTTCTAAACACATCTCCTGGCATAAATCATGGCCATTTTTTTTCTAGGATTATTCTTGACAAGCCATGGGTAAAGGAGAAGCACCTGCACTGTGAAAAAGATTACATGATTTACCTTTCCCCTGCACCTGTGAGTAATAAAACACTACAGTTCTCATCTTAATGGCATGGTTACTTTGCATGCAATATGCTGAAGACTTTTTTATACTATGGATATGAAAGAAGTTAGCATATGTGTAAGGGGAAAAAAAGCAGTGAAATAGCAACCCTTGTCCCTGACAACAGATACTCCCACACACAAACATGGGAACGTGATTCACATATATAAAAGAAACTGAGAGATACATTAAAACATATAATATTAGTAATAATTTCTTTTCTTGTAAAATGTCGGTATTTCAAACAACCTGTGTGTGTGTGTGTGTGTGTGTGTGTGTGTGTGTGTGTTTGTGTGTGTGTGTCAGAGAGAGAGAGAGAGAGAATACTTTGGTAGGATAATTAGGCATAAAATAAAATAAAAGGGGAAAAATACCTGAACTAATATACAACATCATATAACGTGTATATTGTAAAATGGATGATGTCTCTAAGCACATCAGAAACATTTCTATGAGTAATTTTCTTTCTTGGTGCTATTCTAAGTAGTGATTCACTTTGCAAATTGCAACACCACAAATTCTCTGACATCAGTTCCATTTGGTTTAATAATTCATGAGATAATTCATCTAAAAAGCTCTAAATCTGGGGGTCAGTCATTAAGTAATTTACCTTAAATTTTTGGACAAGTAAACAAAAGGTCTATTCAGTGCTTACAGGTGCACACTAAATAAAGATCCAAGCTGCAAAGACCACCTTTCATCTTCTACCTAACATCCATAATTACAAGTTATTTAAAATCTGCCTATCAGATAATTCTTCTTTAAAAAAATCTTCAAATCTGATAGAAAATCATAACCTAGACTAGTTATACCCCAGACATCTAGGCAGGCAAAAAGGGGGCAATTTGAGAAGAACAGGTGTACACTATAATGGTACATGACATTCAAGTTATCTCTCTCTACCCATACATTTACACAGGAATGACATCAAATAATCCCTGGCAGAATCCATCCAAGAATCGGATCTGCTGAACAATCAACAATCTATTAATAACAAAAATATCCTGACCAAGGGGCTGTGTTGTAAAACGAACAGGTGGACATAATAAAAGCAGAGCAGTGAAGCATTTCGAACTCTTTCATCTCCAACCTGAGACTATTACATTGTACATGTGTCTGGAAGTGAATTCTACAGCTCACAGACATGCAATGAAGTCTGGTTAAAAGGCATCAGTACATGATTCACCTTGATGTTGTGACACAAACTCAACAGAACAACTGTGTTTTCTTCATATCTTACTCACCTGACTGAAGCATAGAAAACAATAAATCTTTTTGTTCGTGTAAAATGTTCAACTTCTCTTGCCAATAAATATTCATATCTTACAAAGAGCCAGTTATAACAGAAAGAACAAATGTATCGAAATATTATCAGGTAACGACTTTAATAAAATCAACAAAGCCTTATGTTCTATATTAACCATAATTTTTTTTTTTCAATTTTTTTTTCATCTTTTTTAAGATCAGGAAAAAAAACCACAGGAGTGGGACAATTTGGAACTGTACACTGAGGATAAGGTGGGTGGCAGGTACAAAAGTAATAAGCTGATTCAACACTGCTTCATTCTCTTGTACCTGGTGGATCAAAAACTTTTCAAGGTACCCCTCACATCCTGTTGTAAGGTGCTCCTGACATTTCTTTATTAATTACCAACAGGTCATGTCTGGGCAACCACAAATTGCTTCTATACTGCCCCATTTAAATCTATTTCAAGTCCGAGTAGGGCGAAAAAACCTGTTGTTGTCACTGGGATGATACACAACTAGGGTTTTCTTAGTGAGATTTATTATTACGTCGTGTTTCTTTATGGTACCTTTTTCTATGGATTGTTTATTTAAATAAGCACAAAAAGACTGTCATTTTATACTTGCAGACAATATATAACAACTGGCAATAAAGAGGCATGACTGACATTTAAAGTCATGTCCTAAAGGATGATGGTGTTACTAGGAATATTTTTTACAAACAAACTGTGGCGAAGAAACTTTTGCTGCTCTGAAAACATCACATTGATTTCTGCTCTCTCTCTCTCTTCCCCCCCCCCCCCCCCTTAACCCTTCAACTAAAACACAAGCACAAAAGATGATGGTTAATATTCTGGAAAAGGCTGGACTACTTTATCAAGTTTATGCCACAGATAAATCTTATGGTAATATTGTGGACATACTGGCCTTTCTCTGTGACACTGTCCTACTGACCCAACCACCCTGCTATGTAATGGACAATGTGTGGTGTAAAACCCGCCTCACTCACTATGAAGACAGAGACTAGGGTTTACTTTAAGGCCAATACTCTTGTGAGCGAGTAATCACATTTTTATTGTGGCATAGGTTTAAGTAACTGGCATCTGACGTGTAATAAGATGACTTTTTAGATTAGCTGAAGAAAGAGATATAAGTGAAAGCAATTCATCATAGGATTACATTTTAGAATTGCTGATATATGGGGATACATACAGATAATATATTGTCACCATTAACTAAATACTATATACTTACTATTGCTGGATTTGAGATCTCTATGCACAATATGTATAGGTGCTTCTTCGTGTAAATAGTACATTCCCCTGGCAATCTGTATGGCCCAGTCAACTAAAATTTCAGGGGGTATTAGTCTCTCTGGCTGATTGAGCACTCTGTTCAATGAACCACCTCTAGCATATTCCATAACAAGGCATAAGTTGGGTGGTTTTAAACAAACTCCTTTCAATGCTGCAACATTGATGTGGTTCAACAGCCAAAAAAGTTTGGCTTCTTGTTTCACATTTTTAATGCTCTCCTCTAGAGGTTCATCGGGGTCTTGTCTTGCTGCTTTCACTGCCACCTCTATACCTCTCCACTCTCCCCTGTACACCTTCCCAAACCCACCAACTCCAATGACTTCGGATAATTTAAGTTCTTCAAACTGAATCTCAAACGGTCGATCCTTGAATGAACCTGGAGAGATCTTTTTAACCACAGCCGTCTGCTGCACAAAATTCGACGGGAATATTCCCACTTTGGCACCAACACGACCCGTCCACCAGCCCTCATCTCCGGATATTTTGGCATCTTTGGAGAGAACTTCAACCTGGGTACCCCGTCGTAGGGTTAGCTCGTCTGCCCTGGTGGCTTTGTAATCAAAGATAGCTGTCCACAGCGGTTGTCGATCAAGGTTCTCATAGTCTCTGCGTGTCGGCCTGAGTCGATCCATTAGCTTCTTAGCTTTGTCTGCACTTTTATGGAGAGCATACCGCTCGATGGTTAAGGCTCTACGAGGAGTCTGTTCAGAGACATCGCATGTGTTATTCTCCTCCAAACCCATGAAATGATGCCATTAATACTAGTCTGTCAAATAATTACTCGCCTTATCACATAAGGAATATAACAGTTAACATACGGCCCTGATGCTGAGATGTTAAGGCATCCACGGATGGTAAAATGGGACGCGGCGATGGACGTCTAATGTCACAGTTGGTCTAAATCAATCACCTTTGTCCATGAGCCTGCAGCCGCCATTTTCGTGTACTTTGACCTTGAACCAAAACAGGGTGCGGTGAAGACCCTCATTGGCTAACCTAGATCATGTGATTCGACGTCCTTGGTACTTTTTTCAATAAAATAAGTCTTTAAATTAACTATATATGTGTCTAGTGAAACGCCTCTCTTTAAAATTGTTATGAATGAACTGACTTATGAGATCCCATGACGCATTTGCCGCGAAAGTAGGTCATGCATTGGTGGATGCAATCTCGCGTTCCGTGAATTTTCGAGATTCAACATGGAAGCGACTGAAGAGAATTGAAAGTATTTTATATTTACAGCATTCTATCCCATTTCCTAGTCTCAAACGGTTCTTCTCACAATGGGATCACACACACTGGAGATACTTAGACAAGGGTTGTGGGCCTCTCTGACAGGAGGATGGTTCTACGACCCTCATCAGAGCGTATTTTCGAATACTTTCCATTTATATTTGTGGCTATTTTTCCTGTGTTTTCCTCTAACTTTGTACTTGGTAAGTATTTGCAAAATTGCATTTGTTTTAAAAAATAGAATTGACAGAATCAGTGGTTAAACAGCTGTCACAAAATTAAGATTAGATACCCATTTTACCTTCATGTTCTTGTCAGCTTGATAAATTATATGATGAAGCTCCATGTTTTGTTAAATGACAATGCAGGCAGAAAGTCATATTGACAGTAGGTACCATCGCCAGTTTGAAAGAAAAAGACACTTAAACGATAGTCAATGCCTTGGCTCTTCACCGAACTCTTTCCTTCTGTATGATTGATACTGCATTTTCAGTTTTGGTATCAACTTAATTATGATTTTTCATGAAAATTAAACCACAGTTTGCTTAATTTCTTGCATTGAAACTTGCAGGCTTTGCTGTTCTGTGTCATGTAAAAATTTTAAATGGGTTAAGGATTAATACACTTTGTTGGTTACGTAGCACAAATACCCCATTGGGATTGAAGTTGAAAGTTAATTTGTGTAGCATAAAAATGACACAGCATATGTTGTTAGGTTCTGCATAATTGTGTATGGTTTTTGATTTAGATTCCCTAATCATCTGTGCTATCTATAGAGAATATTTCATAAATACTTCCTCTCTTGATTGCATGATGCAAACTATTTGCAATCAAAGTAATGTACCTGGTGTAGATATTGCGGTTAAGTACTGGTTTTTGTGTTCCTTCATTACAGGTCAATTAATAAATTTGAATTATCTTTTACACATGTATATTTATATATATATTTTATACATTTGCATTGGCATTATCTTTTTATACTTACATATTTTATATATATTTGCATTTATATTATCTTTTTATATTTATATATAACTTGAATATTTTACTGAACATAAGAAATAAGACAAAAAATGAAATAAAAACAAAATGATTGGCTATTTACTATAAGATTCAGGAGGCTCACTTACACATTTTAATAGACCTCAGAGGCAACCCTAAATTATTGGATGCTATTGATGCAAATTTTGTAAATTTGGCATTACATGTCATATTTTAATCAAACAAATACTTCCATTTATCAATTTTTCTAAAAGCAAACAAATGTTACCTTATCTTCTTTTCATTTGAAGTTAACACGTATTCTGAATAACAGGCTAAGTTAATAATGATAGTGAAACTAGAAAAAGAAAGTCATTTTTATATCAAGGGGTAGTTGCGAAACAATTAAAATTGACAGTTAGTTCATCAAAGGGATACCTGGATATAAGCAAGATTATCTATTTACATCGACTCTACCTGGATTAAGTGCAGGCAACATGATTAAGGATGGGTGTTAAACAATTAAGACTGTCAATTAGTTCATCAAAGAGATACATGGACCTAGATGAGAGAGATTATCTGCTGTTAATTTTTCTCAGTATCACATTGTTCATTCTCAGTATGATATGCATTACAGTAGGGGGATGTCCAGGGGGAGAATTGTTTGGGGGGGGGGGGCTCTTGATACAGGTGGTAGGGTTTAACAACTTTGATGTGTGATAACTAAATTAATGATAAGTAATATTAACATTTTCTGTGGAATTGCGTTTGGTAGTCTATCTGACATTAAAATGCTAGTTTTAAAATGACATTTAGGATGATTTTTGTAAACTAGCATCTCTCTGTAACTGAGGTGATGGTTTTTGTGATACAGTAGCTTTCATGGACAAAATATATACTACAACTAGGAAAAATAACTTTTTTTATCTAGGTAAACTATGTTTGAAAATGCCCAGAGTCATATTTCTTATGTCTAAATATCCTGCAAAGCTACTGAAATCTTTTCAATTCAGATAAAATATTATAAAGCCCCTAAAAAGTACCTGATGTTGATATTTCCTTCTGAGATGTACATGATGATATTTTTGACTGGCCAGTCATTAAGGACTAAATTATTTAATTAGGAAGGGTATAAAACATTACATCCAAGTGCAGGGATGAGTCGAGCAATGATTTGTGAGAAGATTTTTTTTGAGGATTTGGCAGGGAAATCCAAGACGATATACCATAAACAGGTTCCAATTATTTCAAAATTTGCAAATGTTTTGTTTCTTAAGAGTTAAATTGTATAAACTTTCCAATCCTTCATGAAAGTATGGTATGGACAAATGAATACATTATTTCCTGATTCTTTTTTTCAGACCCTCCCTTCTTCACTGGTTGTATGGTCCATTTACTGTGCTGTCATTGCTGCAGTATTTATAGTAGTAAAAGGTATCAACTACAAACTCCACAATGTATTTGACACCAGTGAAATGATAGAAGAGGAAGAAGCCCACGAGAGTGATACCAGCTCTAGTAAAGCAGATGATGGAAGCAGCAAGACAGATAAAACAACTGCCAGTAGAACACAAGGGTAAGATTTTTAGTCACGTTTGACGTTTGTGATCTCTTACTTACAGGTTTGTACATGATTGGAACAAAAGGCATGCATATTGAATGCTTTTTACTACTATTTTAACCTAGCTAGCTGTACTTAGCCCATATAAGTATTAGAGTTGACTGGTCTCTTACTAAAGGAAATGAATTGGTTTTAATTGGTGTCCATGAGATGGTCATCACTTAGGTAAAGAGATTCTGAACATTTCTGTACTATCTTAAAATGTCTGTTTCACAAAGACATACCATCAGGTATGTGAATTTATTCAGCAGCCTTTGTCCCAGTACTCTTATTCAGTATTATTTATGGAAAAAAAGGTGGAACTTCAAATCACCAGAGGTCATTTCCAGAAACTCATTTGTTGTGTATTGACTGCGCAGTTCTAATAAGGGAGTTGCATTTTATTTATTGATATGTTATCTGGGTTTCCTCTTTGGTCCAGTTCCTCTTATCAGTTTGGGTGGGAGGAGAAAAATGAGAGATGATATGGATAACAGGATGTCAGGCGTGTGTTGGTGCTGTGTACACATGCCAAGATAAAATTGTATGATACTACTTAATGTGATGTAATTTGAATAGAATGTTAGATATGAACTGTAAATACCGCAGAATGTTGAATATTATTGTGAGAATTAAACTGACTTGTGGCATTCACAGTTTCACCTGGCATGTAGTGAAAAAAATTTTAGAAACTCTAGCCTACCTTTCTGTTTATTTCTTTTACATGTAATATTGTCAATTTTGAATGTTTTTGTGCATTGAAACAGCACAAAAATAATTAATGATTTTTATCAGCATTGACATGAATTTTATATTATTTTCATTGCTACTTAAATCCAGTTTATATCCCTATTCAAAATAAACTGAAAAGAAAAGGCAAAGAAAGGAACAATAATATAGAATGTGGTCATGTTATCCAAAATGGACATTTATATTTTTCTTTTTATGGCAAGCCATGACATGTAAAAATTGCTGTTGAAAGTTAGTTCCAATCAATAATCGAAAATGTAACAACTGATTTAGGAAAAAATTATTATTATTATTATTGTTATTATTATTATTATTATTATTATTATTATTATTATCATCAGGGCTAGTGAAGAATGTATAGAAATGAAGGTCCTCAATGGCTCTCAGGCTAGAAGTATAACACCTCCAGTCCAGTGCAGCTCTAGAAACTCTATCACAGACTTACCCAGTAGCAGTAGGAAAACACCAGCAGATTCCATGGAATACATTAACAAACTAGTCAAAGATGACATGCAGTCTAAAGGAGGAGGAGTTTTAGGTAAGAGACAAAAGAAGTGTCAGATCCCTGTGCACTTGGTAATAGTTTTTACGCAGTATTTTTTCTTTTAATTTTAATCTGTGGGAAATTTAAGAATTGATGACGGCCATTTTGAAAAGAAGAGCTGTTATTTTATTGAACATGCATTGGGTATTTGTTATGGTAAGTATACTATTAAGTTAATTTCCAAACATAAGACTGTATCATTTTTTTTATGTTCTAGATTTAAAAGTAGATGTACACAGAACAGATTCAACAGAAGGTGGAACTACACAAGATGAAAAGAGCTCATCTTCACATGGTACAATCTAAGAGTGAAATAAACTAATTTTAAATTGAAAAAAAAATTGTCAGTCAGATAACAAAATTTACTTCATATCACACAGCAGACAAACTTACAGCTTTTCCAAATTATTGTCAATCAAGATTTATTAGCCATCCTGGATTAGAACTGTTTATTGTTAGTAATTAGTGTGAAAGGTTTTAATATTGTGTATGTAACTGGGGCATTTTTATGGCTGAGATTTTTTTCAAATAATTGGACAACTGATGTGTTTTCTAGATGCAGACATTGTTCATTTACCAGACATTGTTGTATTGGAGGGACCAAAGCCAAGCATTATTCAGGCTGTTGTTAATCAAAATGGAGTAGCAGGTACTTCATCTTCTGGCTTTTCATTCAGATGAATGATGGTGCAGCAATTAATAATTAAATGATATCAACTTGTATGGATGCAAATGTTTGTAGTATGATAGTATGCTTGAAGTTACTGAAGGAGAAATATTAGTTATAGTGACAGAAGTTGAAAATTGTTATTGTTTTTCTCTCTGGGGCAACTGCATTCCAGTTGGTAGTGATCTGATTAATTTCTTAAAAGTTTCTTATGTAAAATGTAATTATTATATAAGCTTTTTTCTCTAGGTCAAGCAGAGAAAGCACCTGACAGGCCAACAGAGACTAAACCATGCAAAAAGCATGTTGCATTTGAGAAGTTCAAAGAGTCTCAGGGAATAAGTGACTCAGATTTGAAAGCAGCTTATAACGATAATCACCCCTTACACAGGAGACATGCTGTTAGGAGAAACAAAAGTGCACTGGAGCTTAAGCCTAACATAAAAGTCAGAAATGACCAAATGGACAAGATATTTCAAGAAAAAGCTATAAAAAGGCGACAAATGTCGTTACCACAGGATAGTGCAATATTTAGTGAACTGGAACCACATGCGTTTTCTGGAAACCAAAATCAGGATGACATGTCCAAGTCTGAGGAACAAACATATGGTGATTTTACTGAACCTCACAAGGAAAGTGGAGTGAGAGATGTGAAAGTGCGGTCTTTTTCTGAACCCCATGGTGATGGTAATGCTGGTTTGGATGTCATGTCACAAGACGAACCATTCAGAGAACGCATTCTAACCCCATCTTCACAGTCTATGGCTCTTCTTAGAAAACCGGGGTACAAAAGAAAACACAAAGATACAAAAAATCTTGACATTGTTCATAAACCAGGGTACACGTCAGAGCCATCTTTTATATTTCATCAAGAGAATTCTGAAGGAGGAGATAATTCATTTGTAGATATACAACTACCTGCTAGTTCGTCTACAGGCACAGATGGGGACTCTAAACCACTCCAAAGTGATCAGGATTCTCAGAGGACCTCTAGTCCCCAGTCTAGTGCTTCCTTTCATACTCCTGTTTCAAGCTGTTATTCAAGCATGAGTGAATCTGACTCGGAGCATTCCCCAGTTTCCACAGAGACTACTTCCAATCCTAAAGGCCCACTGTCAAAGACAGCAGATCTGAGTCAAGAAGACAAATCGGATTCAAATCAGACGTTAACAGAACAAACAGCCAAAAAGACCGATAATAGTTCAACCAAACAGAAAAGTCAGCCAAAACTGAAAATGCCAAAATGGCTGAAGAGGTCCAGCAAGTCCCCTCCCCCAGAACATGTTAGTCAGACTTCCTTACAAAGTGACACTGGTTTGTACTGGATGTTCCACACAGACAGTGACTCTTTCACATCAGGTGCGGTAAATTATTCAATCAGCTTTAGCATTTGATTTTGGGTACTGTTTAGTATCTGTTCCTATCAACCATTACCCATGTACTTTTTGGCTAATATTTAAAATAATTCACTCTTTTCTTCTGAAAATGTGCAATATTGAATTTGCATTTACAGTGGAAAGAAAGACCATTTGGTTGTACATAAAAGACTGCTGTTTGGTTTACTAGATTTTGAATTGTAAATGCAGCCATTTGTTAGCAGATCCCATAATTGCAAATGGCATGACATATGGCTTACTTGCAATTTCAGTGATGAAACATTGTATTTGAATAATTGCCTTTTATAGTTGAAAAAAAATCACATGCTTTTATCATTTATAATGAATCAATTTTAGGAGACAGTCGGTGCCATTCAAGAACTGCATCAGTCGATTCTTCCAGCACCTTAACAAATGACGAGGATGAGGTGGGTCAGTATCCCAGTAGGCATCCAAGGACAGGAAAGAGATCAAAGACACAAAATCCAAGCAGAACACCGAGTACATTGTCACAGGGAAGTGCACAGAATACCGCTGATCTGCCACAGGAAGACTTGTCTTCAAAAGAGAAAGAAAGACAAAAAGACACGGAAAAGAATAAAGTCGATGGGACAGCATCCTCTCCTGAAGAATATTTTGAAGATGTACCTGTTGTTGATAAGACCCATGGTGCCATTCCAAAAAGACCAATTAAAAAACTTCCACAGTTAGATGATGGTAAGGTGATTCATTCATTCTGCCCAAGTATATTAACATGAATGTTGAATGGATGATAATAACCACTATGATATTATTACCTGTATCCCATGGTGAAAAGCTGATGGTGCATCTCAATGTTTTAAAAATTAAGATGACTTGATAATGATCTCAAAAGATAGGATAAGTTTTTTTTTTTTTTTGGGTTTATTTGTTTGTTTTTGTTTTTTTAAAAGTGTGTGGTATCTCAGGCAATGCTGGAGAGTATTTTTTTTTTTAGATTTATTGAAAGTGTAAGACTGAAACTTAAAATTTAGATAAATTTGTGATTTAAGTTTTGATTCACTTATATTGCCCTCCTTAATTACCCATGTTATTTCTGTGTGCTTTTGCATTTTTTGTTTGTTTTTTATTTCGATGCAAAAATTTTCAGTAGCTGTTTTATAAAAGTAAACCTAACTTGTATTTTGTATTTTCCTATTTTTAGATGAGACTCAAGCTGTAGAGGAATCCAAAAGAGCTGTAGATGTTATACAGGAGGTTGATATTAGCAGACGTATACTGGAAATTTTAAGTAAAAATGACCCAGTGGAGTGTGAGGAAGAACTGAGAAAACTGAAGGAAGAGCTGGACTTGAATAAAAGTAAGCACGAAGTGCAGTCATGCATATGTCATAATTTCAAGAAAAGAAGGAAATGTGTGATTTTGCTTCTGTCCTAGTATTTTGTTATAATTCTGATAACTTGATTCCTGTTTCAGTGTAAATCTTCATGATATATTAGAATATTGCTAACCTATTTCCCAATAAACTGTTTGCAGGGCAGTTTGAACGAGGGGCATCAGACAGAAGTCAGAGTGGAGGTGGTAAGATTGATCATTATTTGTGGTAATAGATCTGTTTTGTAATCTAGGGAATTCTCTTTTTGTTTTTTTAATTAACTATGACTTGACATATATTTAATATTCATGATATACTTTCTATATAAACTTTATATAGCATAATAAGCTATTTTTCAGATGGATCCAGGCCAAAACGTGTGCGTCATAATGATGGACCAAGCAGAGACTCATCTGCCTCTAATTCAGAGACGTCAGCCTTGTTGTCCTCTCCAGCACACAGTCTTCAGAATGAGGGGGTTGTAAACAGGTTAGGATTTTAACTTCAAATTTTGAAAATTCATTGACAACCTGGTCTCATTCTAACTTAATTTTAGCCTAACCAGTAATGAACAATAATTCTGTATTTCTTTAAAATAGGTAATAATTAAGACCATTATTTAAAGCTATCAGCCCAACAAATGGCAAATTGAAGGATAATTTTTTAAACAAAATTTCAGGAGATCCCGCCACAGAAGCAGTCGCAGCAGTAAGCGTTCTTCACAGACATCATTTCGTGAGCCCCAGCCCCCAGCTGCTTTGCAAGCAAAGATCGAGTCCCAAGGAAAACACCTGGCTACCTCCCATGAAGACACAACAGAGGGAGCAGTGCACTGTTTTCAGGACGAGATGGGTATACATATTGTTTTCATATCATGTTTGAGATGAAGTGAAAGGATGAGAAAAACCACGTGGAATATTTTCACAATATGTATTGGTTGAATACCAGGTTATCTGGTTTAAATAAGAAATAATGGGGATGTATTACTCATTTGAAAAGTCAATTATTGTGTAACGTCAGTGTATAATATCAGTTTGAAGAGATGTCTGAAAAAGTCACTACTAATTTATGAGCATATATGAGTTAAGCATTGAATTGACATCCAGATGCCATATGCCACATGTTATATAATCATTTACTGTATATTTTTCTGTAGGAAATTGGTATACATACACATTTGGTGAAGGTAGCACAGGGACTGCTACTGGAATTGCTGAGAAGACTCCATATGATAGATGGTAAGGTGTTGTTTTAAAACCAAGTGTAAACTGTTTTACTTCTTTATGCAGTATGAAGTGCCTGAAAGAGCTTTGAGGCAGAGATTGTTTGAATAACTCATACCATAAAATTTTCTTGATGAGAGCGAGTCAGTTGACATGCAGCTCCTAGCAGAGTTTGAAGCAGCAGTCACCTTGTAAAGATATTAAAACTCCTGGTTAGGGTAAGACATAGTTTTACAGCAATATTTGCTTTCTGTGTCAAATCCCTCAAAACCCCACAAGAATTTTATGATTATGTTTCTTATTTATTTTCAGAGATTTCCAACTGTATCTTTATGTTAGTCATTCAGTTCACTAATATTTACTGATGGCTTTTTTCACTGCATTCTTTTGAAGCTGGCAATGGGAGTAATAATATAATTTAGCTCAGATGAACCAAATTTTACATTTAGGGACTCCAGCTCCAGTGACTCTGGTTCCACAGTGATACTGGACCCTCCAAAAGATAACCAGACCAGACAAGAACTGAGGTTCCAGTTAGTGGAGGAACCCCTGGAACTGCCAGGCTCAGTGGGGCCAAGAAGAGATTTGACCACCAGCACTCCTTTACAGAGTAAACACAATGCATATTGAAAAATGCTTGGTTTAATGTAGTCATTTTGTGCGAGTTATAGGAAGATTAAAATTGCATATTGAAAAACACTTGGTTTAAGGCATTCATTTTGTACGAGTTATAGGAAGATTAAAATGAAAAATTAAATTTAAAATATTTGCTGACAATTGTATTTGGTATTTGTTTTGACTATTATTATAGTAATAAGGTGATGTTTACCATGTTACTTTTTAATGTCAGTGGTGTGGATAATTGTAAGATAGAAAAGAATCATCAGTTTGGTTGTTGCATTTTCAGGTTATATTGAACATCTATTAGACAATCGTGCCATGAGAGGTCGAGGTGGAACTACAACGCAGACACAAAATTCCATCTCTGATTCTGACTCTGATACCACTCATGATATTACAGCAATTGAAGAGAAACCTAAATTTTACTACAAGTTTTGGATCATACCAGATAAAAAGTTTTTAAAGTTGAGATTTGACAGACTGGCTCTGTTAGCTTTGTTAGATAGGTGGGTTGTAAGGCCTTTTTGTAGTCAACGGTTCTATGTGATAGAAACTTTAAAAAACTCTAACTTGATATTTTTGTGTATAAAAAACAAAAATTTTTTTTTTTCGAATTATTTTGTATTTATTACCAGACATTCGATCCTTTGTTAAGAATATTTTTATTTACTTTATTTCACACTTTATAAATAATAATTGAAATTTACTGAGAATATGTTCGTTTATTACAGATTACTTGTCAATTCTATAATGATATAATTTACAACAAAAAGTTCCAACTTAAATATTGAAACTTCCCTTTCTTTTCAGAAACCTGTCCATCTTTGAAAATTGTAGTGCAGTATTGCTGGCAATACTGGTTGGTGTGTTAGGATGTTTGCTGTTGTCTCAAGAATTTTTCAAAGATTTCTGGATATTTCTCTTCTGTTTTATCATTGCGAGTTGCCAATATTCACTACTTAAGGTAAGTCAATTCTCAAGGTAAGCAGAAATTCATTGTAAAGTGTACAGAAAAAGTAAAGTTAAAAAAATTTTAAAATATGTTATTTTAGTTGGCATATTGAGACATCAAGACATGTCAAGTTTGTAGTGATGATTGACATTGCAGCTTTTTTTCTGCCAATCTTACTTTTTGATCAATATCATTAGAGATGTCAAATTTCACTCTCTCTCTTTGATTTCCCTTTGCTGTCCCATAGAAAGCCCCATTGTAATGCCATTGTTCTTTTAATTATTTCCATCATATTGTAATTACAGAGTGTCCAACCAGATGCAGCTTCCCCAATGCATGTAAGTTTGCTCCAGTACCACCCAGATTTAACTGTATTAAAGAAGCTAAAACAGATTACCAAAGAGATTTATTATTTTATCTCTGCAATGATATCACTGCCTTAGCCTAATTGCTTTTTGATTTATGGGTGGAAAATTGTAAGGTTAATGATGATATTTCCAAGTAATACTATTTAAAACTTAAAAAATGAAATGTTTGATCATTTAATGATAAAGAAATTTCCTGAAAGAACACTTGCCTACTTTTAAAATAATTGAATTCATATGTTGGATAAGTTCAATGATAACAAGATCTTAACAATGTCAGTTTGCTGTGCATTCTACCCTTTCCATGTGACACATCCAATTTACCGTTGTCATACTTGTAGGGTTATAACCACATCATCGCCTTCAGCCGTCCATTCTATTTCACCGTCTGCTGTTCCTTGATACTGCTGCTGGACTATGCAAGCTCGAAATTGGAGCCTTCCAGCTACACTCTCTATGGTATTGCTGTCACCAGTAAAGGAGCAGTGACATTTGCAAGGGATTTATTGTTAGGTTTGTATACCGTTTAATGGAGTTTGTAAATATTTTTATCAAAATTTCATTGAAATAACCAAAATTGCTTTGGTTTTGAATGAGAAAATCCAAATTATTAGCATTTGGTGAAATGCTAGTAATGTGATTTCCTCTCATGAAAGCATTAGGCATTCTGGTGCAAAAAGGTCTTATAGCTGTGGATGTAAGACCAACAAACTTCTTATGGTCAGAATGTTAAAAGGGGATATGACTTAGAATATCATTTAACTGAAAGCTACTATCCATATTTGGTACCATGACTGTTGGTAACTATTAATGGGTGAGATTTTTAAAGTTATTCTTTATTTTTTATCAAGCTGTATCTATATTTCATTTAAACTATCTGCTTATTTAGAGTTATTACCAAATTTATGTCACAGCAAAGAGGTCAGAAAGTATGTACTGTAAGGAACTATTACACTGTATTTTAGTAATGATATTGGTCTTTATTGAGATTTCAAAATTTTTTTCAGTATTTGTCTTGTGTTTCCCAGTTATCTTCACATTTGGATTACTGCCTCAAGTCAACACATTTTTCATGTATCTGCTGGAACAGATTGACATGCATGTGTTTGGAGGATGTGGTAAGCAATATATTAAATGGATAAAGTTTGTTGGTACCACTTAAAAAACCATAGAAGACACTTCTCTGTGAATAACTGCAACCCTGTGTTTCATTTATTGCAGGATACTGTTTCCTTTTGAAATTATTAATTTTTAAAATTCATTGGAGTTGAAAAGCAGAATAGTCCATGAAATGAGTTTGAATAATATGAATAATATTTCATAGATAGCAACAAAAAAATAGATAAGTATTTAAAGGCAAAAATAAATAAATAAGCCAGCTTGTGTTTGCAAATTAGGTTGTATTTTAAGTACTAGTTGATTTTTATTGTACAGACCACTTGATGTCTTTTACTTAAAAGTAGTTTATATTATGACATTTATATTTTGAAGTTGGAGATTCGATATTATCCGTACAATTCCAGCAACCACAAGTCTTCTAGCTGCCTTTTTTGCTGTGGTAAGAAGTGCGATGGCAGTTGCAGTGCTCTATGGATTTGCTTTTGCTTCTCTAAAGCTGACCCTAGAGGTAAATGATATTTATATGCACATGGTTTGTAATTTGGGTTTTGAAAAAAGCGAATGACTGCTCATGGTCTAGAAACTCAAAAACATAAACTTTTGGACAGAATAACCTGTTATCTTTTTTAGCACAATGCATTTATTAATAAAAAAAAAACAACTTAAAAATTAAACTGCAATTCAGGTTGAGGATGAGATAAAATCTGTTAACAGTGAAAATTTTTTCTTGGATTACTCCTATTGAATGTAATATTGTATTTATTGTAGCTCAAGGATAAATCCCAGAATGTGATGTTCTCTGTGTACTGTGCCCTGCTGGTGCCGATGTCTTACCACTTGAGTCGGTGTGCAAGTGATCCCGAGGTCCTGATGTGAGTAGCAGATAGACACAAAGTTTGAGTTCAACTTAGAATTTCATTTTTAGTCAGTTTGAAAAATAGTAAACAAGGAATTTTAATACACATTACGAGTGTTTGTGAATTTTGATGATTGTTGATTAAGTCAGCCAAAGGAAACTTGTTTCTGTTTAGATTTGATTTAAAAAATGAAAAATAAGTTGTTTGTGAAATTTCTTTGACCTCAGCTTTCATGATTGTCATGATTTGCCCGTTTAAGTCATGACCCATTATCAACATAATCATGGCCCATTATCAACTGAAGGAGAAAAATATGTTGTTTGCAGATCTATGGTCAAAGACAAACTGCAGAGTAAGGTTTGCAAGAGGAATGAGGAGGCAGCAAATGAAAAAGATGAGGAGTTGGTTGACCCTTTACCAGAAAAACTGAAAGGATCTGTGGTAATAATTTTCTCAACACTGATTAATCTTAAGCTCTTATTACCTTTCCTCATTATGGCCTCTATTCTCTTTATCATTGAGTAAGAAAGTGTCCCCTTGTCTCCTAGCCAGTCACCATGCCTCCTATTATCTTGCAGTATGAACGTTTGAGGTCAGATGGCATCGTGTGCCTGGTGGCTGCCTTAATGACGTTTGCTGTCCACGTAAGCACAGCATTCACCAGCCTTCAGCCCCACCTCCACGCAGTGCTGTGTTACATAGCTGGCACCTTGGGCCTGCTGATCCATTACCTGATACCTCAGCTGAGGAAGGAAATGCCTTGGTTATGCTGCTCACATCCACTGCTGCAGAGTCATGAGAGGAGTCAGTTTGAAGTGCGAGGTAATAGCAAAGTAGCTTGACAGATGTCTAGAATTGATGTTGTTGGAAATCTGGTTAAGCAATTGTGATTGTAGGGTGCTTTAAAGTGTTTTGTTTGTTTAAAACTACATATTTACAAACAGAATGTTTCTTTTGTTCATTTGTTTGTTTACCACATAAAAACATTTATTTTAGCACACATAATTGGACAAAGTATATAGCAGCCGTGGTAATATGTAGGAATTAGGCAATTGTCCAAGTAAAGTTGGTGGGTGATAGATTTTCTATGTTGGAAAAATGCACACAAGACAAATCTATACTACGACCAACACCACCTGATACTGACTATATCTATGCAGAGAATGTTTTAATGGCATCATTTTATGAATTTTATGAATTTTAGATGCAGCCAAGGTGATGTGGTTTGAAAAGGTGTATTTGTGGCTGAGATTCATAGAGAAGAATTTCCTGTATCCTACTCTATTTCTCAGTGCCTTGACCAGCTCTGCCCCAGTGGTTGTGAATAAGTTTGGATATTTGTAAGTTCTAGCTTTCTTTTTCTGAAGTAGTTTGAACATGTTGTTCTATTAATGAGCATTAGATGCTTAGATAATTTTTTTGTTATGTATCCTGCATAATCAGTCATATAATATTCTTTTTAAAATTTGGGATTTTTATTATTATCTTCATTTTCCCAACTTGGTAAGTTGAAATTGATAGTCAAGAGGTTTTTATTTCATCTTATTGCTGAATGCAAAAATGCACATTTTTGTAATTGTATTATTAACAGACCGTTTTTTCTCTATTCAGGATCGGAGCTCTGGTAGTGACTGTGTGTGGCATTAAGATGTTTCGCAGTGCCTTCGTCCACACTCCAAAACAGTACCTGATTGTTGTCTTCACTTTCTTCTTCTTCAAGTATGACTATGGTCAGGCCTCAGAATCCTTTCTTATTGACTACTTCTTTATTGCCATATTTGTTAACAAGGTAAGAAAGAATTATTGACGGGCTTTAATTATGGAGGAGCTCTTTGATAGATAGTGTGTAGTTGTGTGTGTACATTCTCATTGCATAATAAGACATTTTAAAAATGTGATAAACCAGGCTTTTATGAAATATATGGAATATAAGTTTGTTTTTTTTTCTTTGAGGTCCAATTTAGAAAATTTAGGGTTTGGCATCATAGTAGTTAGAGAACATATTTTAAGATAATAAGTTTCAAAATACAAAGTGTTGTGGAAGTTAATCTTTAAATGTTACTTTAATATTTATTGCTGTGACAAAATTGAAATGAGCACCATTGTACATCTTAAATGATTTGAAATATTTTTATCATCTTTCAGTTTTACGACTTTTTACTGAAAGTGCAATTCATCCTGACTTACATAGCGCCATGGCAGATCACCTGGGGTTCTGCCTTCCATGCCTTTGCTCAACCTTTTAGTGTGCCACGTATCCTTTTGTGCTTCTAGGAAAATGGGAATATTTCCATGAACTGCTTTATATATGAAAAAAAAATGAAAATTTAAGACATGTTTCTTTTAATTGATTATTAATGCATTCATTCATTTGAAAAGTTAAATAATACTTAATAAATAAATAAATAAATAAATAAATAAATAAGGGATGTATTGAGGAAACCATAACTTGAAATGTTTTATTTTTTATTGTAATCTTTTTTTTCTTAATTTGTTGTGACATGAAAATATAGCAGGCTTCAGAATCTTTTATGAAATTGTTGGCTCCTTAACTGTTCCCTCAGATTCTGTGATGCTGTTTGTTCAGGCAGCAGCTTCTGCCATTTTCTCCACCCCCTTGAACCCTGTGCTAGGAAGTGCCATCTTCATCACCTCTTATGTTAGACCTATTAAATTTTGGGAGAGAGATTACAAGTAAGTTATCCTTAGAATACCTTTTAACACTTTTCATTGATTGTGGCATGAATTTGGAAGGAAAGGTGTCTATTTAGATCTGTCATGCAGAAAGAAAGTTGGTTTCAAACAGCTTTTTAATATCATATTAACACCAGTTTTTGTTTTTATTTAAATTATTTTTGTCAACCCTAAAACCTATTGTATATACAATACAAATAATATATTATTTGTGTGTTTGTTCATTGCAGCACAAAAAGAGTGGACCATTCAAATACAAAGCTGGCCAGTCAGTTAGAGAGAAATCCAGGTATGATACCCAGTATGAGTAAGGAATATGTACTGTAGCATCTGGATGCCAAAATTTATGTGTTTAAAGCACTATGAATAGTATAATGTCATGTTTAGTGTATCAGGAAGCAAAAACCATAAAATCTTCAGTTTTACTATCAGCCTAACCACTTAAGAAATAGTTTGATTTCATAAGGAAGAGAATGCATGATAATTAATTAATTAGGCTTTGACAAAGGTCAGAGAGAGAGAGAGAGAGATTACTGCCTTTAATGAAGTAAGCCTAATGGCTAATTAAGAATCTTTCAATTTTCTACTTTCTAGGCTCTGACGACAACAACCTGAATTCTATCTTCTATGAGCACCTGACCAGGTCCTTGCAGCACAGTTTATGTGGAGATCTAATGATGGGCCGGTGGGGCCCAGCCTCTCAGGGAGACTGCTTTATCATGGCATCAGATTATCTCAATGCACTAGTACACATCATCGAAATGGGGAACGGACTCGTTACATTCCAATTAAGGGGGCTTGAATTCAGAGGTGAGAAGTTGTTTCCTTGTGGTTGTACTACACATTTTTATTTTTCTTTTTTGCTAAAATTTGGACTCGTATTTAATTTGTAGTATCCAGTGGAAAATGTTGAGAAGAAACCTGATCATTATGAGATAATAAAGGCAACAATATCACATATGGTTATTATGTATTTTGACGTAACTTGCCAAAACTGAAGGAGGAACATTCCCAAAATATTCAAACATTAAGTGATAAAATTGACAAGAACACATGAAATCTTCTTCCAGGTACTTACTGTCAGCAGAGGGAGGTGGAAGCAATTACAGAGGGGGTAGAAGATGACTATGGTAGGTTTATATCAGTTATGTAAGCATAGTGAAGGGAGTGAGTATCCACTTGTTTTTGGGTGTAAAAATGATTTTCTTTTTTATGAAAGACAGTAAAAGTTTGTGTTTTAGCTTTTGTTTACAAGCTGTAGGCATGTAAGTAAAACATCACAGTGTACCTGTATAGTTTGCCCTTCATGCCTTTTGCTTGTAAAATTTAGTCATTATTTGTAAATGTCACCAAAATTATTTTCAGGGTTCTGTTGTTGTGAGCCAGGTCATCTCCCCCATTTTCTGTCTCTGAATGCTGCCTTTAACCAGCGATGGTTAGCTTGGGAAGTGACTGTTACAAAGTATGTGTTAGAGGGATACAGCATATCAGACAACAGTGCAGCATCGATGCTGCAAGTGTTTGACCTGAGGAAAGTGCTGATCACATATTATGTCAAAGTGAGTATGTTGACATTCATCAGATAGATTTGCTGTAGAATAAAAAAAAACAGAAATGGGGAAGTTGGGCAAAATAATTTAGACAAAAAATGTATTTTCATATAAGAAAATGGGGGGGGGGGACAAATAGTTCAGATTATAGTGAATGATTTGTAATCTTCTTAAAAGGTAGTGGGCCTTAAATGATGCAATTTTCTCTTAAAGAGTCATTGAACTCTATCTAATCGTTCATTTCAGTCTACATATTTTGCTTGAACTAGAATTTGTGTTCAGTGTACAAAAGAATGATACATTATCAATTCTTTTTTTAGAGTATTATTTATTACACTATACGGTCACCAAAACTTGAGCAATGGCTGTTTGATGAGAGCATACGGACTGCTGTGCAGCTGACGTTGGAGAAAAACTATGTTGACCTGGATCCAACATTTAACTTACATGTTGATGAAGATTATGATATGAGACTCTCTGGAGTATCAAGAAATAGTTTTTGTAACACTTACCTTAGTTGGATACAGTATTGTGCTTCCAGAAGGAACTCAGTAAGTTCTCTTTATATTTAGAATTTTTTTTTCTTTTTTTTTTTTTGTCATTGAGGAACCATAATGCTTTTCTCTTGCTTATCTTAACATACACTACTGATTAATTTGTTCTGTAGATTTTTTGCAGAGATATCTGAAAACGGTTTGTGTCTACAGCACCATGAATCTGTTCATTCAGTGCAACTATGTTTTTAACAATTTATGTTTAAAAACATGGGCACATCCTGAAGATTTTTTAAACAATTTGAAATCAAAACTGACTTTTCTTACTTTTCTACTCTTATAGAATCTAGACAGCCATAAGGACTCATCACTGGTGTCGCTGTGCTATTCGTTGAGTCTGCTGGGAAGGAGGGTCATGTTCACAGCCTCTCACAATAATGCATATGCTAGGTAAATGGTGTAAAGATGAATAATGTGTGTTTCCACACTAAGACTTAAAAGAAAGTTAAATGTGAAATGAGATCCGATTGAGAATTAAATGTGGCTTTTGACTAGGAAGAAGTTAGATATGCTTCTGAGATAAGCTGTCAGTAAGTGTTTAGACAAGAAAGATAATTCTTGAATATTTTATATTTTGAATACTTGCTATCATAGATAACAACATTTTGAGTCCCATATCTTACCACCTAGTTGGGTAGGTATTGAAAATAGAATCAATGTATTTCATTCAGCATTTTACTCTTTGAAAGTCATATGTTTGGTCTGTTCCAGTGTTGACTTCTTCCTGTATGGCCTCCATGCATTATTCAAGGGAGATTTCAGAATAACTTCTCCCAAGGATGAGTGGGTGTTCACAGACATGGAACTGTTAAGAAGGGTAGTAGCACCTGGCATCAGAATGTCTCTAAAGTTACATCAGGTTAGCTATATGTTAACTATAATGTTATAAATTGAATATTACAATAGCTTGTTAGCTCTTTATTATATTACAGGATCACAAATTACCATGCATAGTATCATATAGTGTTGGAGGTCCAGTTTTGATAGAAGGGCCTCTTATAGCTGAAAGTTGAAAAACTTGTCAGTAATTGTCCTGTTAATAATACAGATTATTGACACTTTTAAAAATTGTTGCCTGTATGAAATGTTATGGCCTTAGGGATAAAATATATTTATGAAATAAGATTCATCATTTTAAAAATTATGATGTAACAAGTCAGCAAAAGTTATCATAACTGTCCCACAGTTTTCTTTCACTCTGATCTGTATGTGTTTTATCAGTTATCTTTCATACCTAATGCTTTATCAATCAAATCATTTCAGGATCACTTCACTTCTCCTGATGAGTATGAAGAACATCAGATGTTGTATGATGCTATCACTGGGTATGAGCAGAACCTGGTGATATCACATGAAGCAGACCCTCAGTGGAGAAATGCTGTACTTGCCAATACGCCATCTCTACTAGCTCTCAGGTCAGTACGACAAAGAAAATTTACCTGTATTGTATTTATTTGTCTCAGAAATGCAAAAAGATATTGAAATTTGTATATTTTGTCAAGAACGTAAAAGCAATTTAAATTTGGATCTTTGATTCTAACTTTTGTCAAAGCGGTTGATATTTGCATGTATTGAACATTGATGGAATGCTTTTAATTTGTTAAGATATTACACTGTGTCTCTGTTGATTATAAATTGATATCTGCTTATTGATATCTTTGTTAGGCATGTGTTTGATGAGGGTTCAGATGAGTACAAGATCATCATGTTAAACAAGAGATTTCTTAGTTTTCGAGTAATCAAGGTAAGGAAAAAGGATCTGAGAAAATCTTTAAAGGCATTATGGTTTATCAAATATTACTACATTCTTTAAAATTATTAAAAGTTGTGTGTTTAGTTCAGTGTGTGTCTTGTCACCTAAATATTCCCAGCAAAAATGTGGAATAAAACATGCTCACAAATAGAAAATACACTTTTAAAATAATGAGATTAGACGTTTATGTTTACTAATTTCTTGGGTTCTGTCTTTGTAACTTTTATATTTTACAAAATATTCATGTAGGTGAACAGAGAGTGCGTGAGAGGCCTGTGGGCAGGCCAGCAACAAGAGTTGGTCTTCCTGAGAAACAGAAACCCTGAGCGGGGCAGCATACAGAATGCCAAACAGGCTCTCCGCAACATGATAAATTCTTCCTGTGATCAGCCTATAGGCTACCCCATCTATGTGTCCCCCCTGACAACCTCCTACTCGGGGACTCATGAACAGTACACTGGGATAGTAGGGAAGGAGTTCTCCCTCAATGGAGTAAAGAATGCATTGAAGGCATTGTGGAAAAGGTGTGAAAAAAATTGACTTACGTTAATCAGTTTTTGGTAGATTATGCTATCAGTGGTAGAATATGCTGTCATCAGTTATTGAGTTAAAGGTATTTGAATTCACTAGTTGGTTTATCTACTTTATTGTATATAACCAACCAAATGTATCATAATTTTGTGGACACTGTTAAAAGGATTGAAGTTTACCTATAAAATTAATGATATACAGATTAGTAGCACATTTAATTTATATGACAAAAATTGTAAAATATATTTGCGCCTTTTGTATCCCTTAATGTTATATGACATAGTTAAGTTTTGCAGAGGGTTATTGGGCATTGTTAATATCTGTTCTAGGATGCGCCAGCGGTGTGGTGCCGGATGCACCAGTGGTGGGTCCAATCTAGAAGACATGGGAGGCTGTGGGCCCACCATTGTCACTGTTTCAGGTATACACTTCAGGCTGCTCATTTTGTCTCCTCTAAATTATAACATGCAAAATGTGATGTCCAAATACTGCAGAATACAATCATTCATATGTGAATATTGTGTTCTCTTATTAAAACGTGCAGAACAATCAGATGTATTATACATAAATTTATGAGATTTATTTCTGGACTGGAGATGTCATATGCATTAAAAGTCTTATACCACATCTCACATAAATTATATTTACATTGCACAATGAATTCCATTTTCTGTTTGGTAATGTCCTCTTAGTGTCAATAGTAGCCTCACTGATAACTCACTGCTTTTAATATATGAGATATTAACATGAAACTGATCAAGTATGTAACACTTGGTCTGAGGACTTATCATCTTCCATTCCTAGGATGCAAATATTGATCTTTTAATAGGCACATGCTGTAAACAAAACTGTTCTTTATTTTATTGAACATCACCCATTTTCCTAACTTAGGTACCTATGGGGGACCTGAGAGACCACACCAGGGCAGTTTAACCAGCACTACAGCCCCACAGGCAGACAATAGTACCATCTTGACCAATAGAGGGAGCTTTATATCCACAGCCAGCTCTGCCAGCAAACCAAGTTCAGCCTTAGTCAACATTGCAGGCTTACTATCAGATAGCACTGCAAGCAATAAAGATCCTGTAACTCAGAGAGTACAGGTTAGTGTCATTTGATTTCCCTATGCAAGCTCAGACCCCAGTTTCACAAAAAAAAAAAAAAAAAAAAAAAGCCTGGCTAAGATTCCCAAGATTACATGGTCATATATGGGCATATCTTACCCTATCAGGAGTAACAACACTCTCATGGAAATCCTGGTCAACTAAGCCAGGGAACTGACTGAATTTTTATTTTTATATTTTTTGTGAAACTGGGGCCAGGTTTGTTTATGTAAAGTATGATTAGAATGGGTCTCAAGTTGTTAAGCAGCAGGTTTTTCCTGTCAACACTCATCTGCCTTTTAACTGGAGAGATTTAAGTTGCCATTTCTAATGACACTTAAAGACCATGTTTGTTTACTTTATTAGATACAAGACATAGGGCAAGTGTATGATACCATAAACTTGGGGCGCAGAATAGATGTTCAGTGGCCGAGTGACGAGTGGAGACAAAATGGCGGCAAGAACGGTTGGAAGAGCTGGTTTCCTGACAAGGGCATGGAGGGAACTGTTGTTCACAAATGGATGCCGTGTCACAGGGAACCAGGCAGAAGATCTCATGTCGATAAAACTATTCTCTTGGTGCAAGTTGGTGAGAGATTTGTTCCCATTGCTGAGGCAGGGGTTATTGATTTGGGTGCAGAAGTATGATGGTGATAAGATAAAAAAAGGTGCTTTCAACTTATAGAAGTAAAAGGATTTGTTGCCAGTGGTTTAAGTTAGAGTGTAGATAGCACTGCTGTTTATTCATTACAAAGACAAAAGGCATCTTAATGTTATTATTTATGATGAATCATCTCTCATGCATGGTGAGACAAAACTTAAAGAATCATTTATCTGGAGTAATAACAACTGTTATTACAATCACATTTTCAGGTCATGTTTATTACCCTTGTGTATACAATAAGTCAACATGAAACAACTTATCCCAAGTGAAATAGGATGAAATTGCTTGGATAATTTCATCAGAACATTTGTTTGCCTTTTGTGATAATTGGCAAATTGCTTTAAAAGTAATCTTAGACTACATACTCATGCAGTACTAGGCAGCAGTTGATATTCTTGCTCTGCAAGAAGGATTTAATCTGTTTGTTCATGGAAGGTGGGGAGCATCTATTGTGCCATTGCTATTGATAATTATGATATTATGTTACAAGAAAATATATATACACTAGTATTGCTTCAGTTAAGTGTTTTATTTATGGGACCAATAGAAAAATGCTGAACCGGTTTCTCTGCATGTCTTATAATATTGGCTAAGGTCATCAGGGTTGTGAATCAGGTTACAACAGAAATGCCAGTTTTTTTTCACACTGTGAGATAAAAAACGAGGTAATTTTACAGTATTGTATTAGAGAGATCATCTGCTGGGTCAAAACACTACTGGGTTTCTGATTTGGTGATACTGTTATGAAGCAAGGGAAAAATTAGTTTGAATATGTGGCCTATTTAACTGATATTATATGTGAGTAAACGGGTTAAATATACTATTTAAATTCTTGAATATTCAATGATAAATGGATTTGAGAATGGATGAGAAAATAATTGTGTCAGCTCATAACTCATGCTTGTGTGTCAAGTTGGAAAGGTAATCACAATCAAACAATAGATATTAAAATATTCATCACTATTTGTGTTTTAATGTTATTGTGATTTGATAAGAATTAAGGCATCCACAAATGTTACATGTGATATTAAATCTGCATTTTTGATTTATCTGTAGATTCATTCCGGACTTTTCATGTATTATATTATTGAGATGAAATGTCTGATTTTTTATTTATTTATTTAGTTTTTGTTTTGTGTATTTGTGCCTGATCCAGTTTGATCATTTTACTGTGATCATTTATTAATGAGAATAAAATCTCTATCAGAAAGGCATCAGATGTTCTTATTCTCAGTTTTCATGTGTAAAGAAACCTTTAAAAAACATACATACAAAAAGACAAATACTATTTATTTCTGTACATTATATATATATGAGTGAGCTTTACAATATTGTTCTTACATATCAGGAATGCAAACTCTCCTCTTTGACATAATTTAATGTAAAAAATGAGTTGGATGATCCAAATTAATTCTTTTCATATGCTTTTAAAATTCATAAAAAAAGTCCATACAAAATCCACTGTCAATTTGGCTCCATCTTCAGTGATGCATGGTTGTTTAGTCCACTTGAGGATTATGCTGGAAAAGGTACTCCGCCTAGAGAAAAAAAGTTAATATGTTCACATATTTTATAAAATGTGGAAAGTTGAATGTGTTATATATTAACTAAAGAACAGATCAAGTAAATTGAAACTCTTTAAAAATAATTTTCGATTGATCATTTAAATTACTATGCTGGTTTTGCTATCAATCAAAATTTTACATCATCATCATCACCATCATATAAATTACTGGTATTTGTTCTGTTTTTTTTTTTTTAACTTTTGATTAAAATGTGTCAATATTAACTAATTTTTAACCCAAAAATATATGACTGACAATTAATTCTAATCACTCATTAAAGTCACAGATTGTAATTTAGCTAAAGGTTTGATTTGCAAGGTGTTTTAACCAAACAATCTCCCTTTTCCTGTAGACTTACCATGTAATCTATAGCGTCATCTGGCCTGACTTTGACACAGTCAATAAGAGCTTGTGTGAGTGTGGGCATCACATGCTTCATCAAATAGTTCCTCAGGGGTTGAGATTGAGTCTCCAGCATGTCATATTCCTCTCTTTTCACCTGATCTAATCTTTCAGCCTGCGTATTATAAAGTGATAAATATGAAATTAACGACAAAAGCTGTGTGAATATATATAGATATATTAACTTTAAAACAATGAATTTCCAAATTTTTAATTTAAAAGCCTTGCAACTGCTCATTTCTTTGGTCCTGTTGAAAAAAGGGCAATAAAACAAATTTTATTACTATGCAAGTTAACATATGGTAGTGTCTGTTGTGACATTTTCCTCACCCATTCATCCTGTCGTCTTTTCCTCTCTGCGGCTTCCTCAGCTTCTTTCCTCTCTTTCTCGGCTTTTTCCTCAGCTTCTCGTTTTATATGAGCCTCCTCTTCTTTCTGTCTCATTTCAGCAAGCTCTTCTGCAGTGGGGCCTAAAAAATCAGATTCACAAGGTATTTATATGTGACTTATATGCAGGAATGTTTTTACAGTGCAGTCTTAACATAACTGGCTGCACCGTGTTTTTCCAACAGGCACATTTGGTCTTGCTTGCACTTTTGTGGTATATTTGCACAGATTTTCAGATGGAAGTTTTCATTTATTTTCTTACAAAAGCAGTAAAATACAGCCACTGTAACTTGCAATACTTGTAAAAAAAAGGTAATAAAATGTGAGTGCATTTTTGATACTGATCAAGAAAAATGTCAGTAATGTTACTGAGATTTGGCTGACCAATACATAACAGACAGACTAAGGTAGCAAAATCGGTAAAAACCTTACCATAGTTTCTTGGAGGCCCCATCATTTTCTTCACTTTTTCTACTGTATCTGCCATCATTTTAGAGCTATCTTTTGTCACATCTGAAAGAAAGACATGCACAATTATTACATCTCATTACACTGATACTATATTTTGACGTATTTGTATCAGCACTGGCATTGCAATATAAATAATGAAAAAGAAAAAGATTATTCATCTGAAAAAAATAACAGCAACAGATTTATTAAATGAATAAAAATATTTATTCTGTTGAATCTCTGGTAAAAGCAAACAACTCAACAATCCATCTTACCAATTTTATCAGGGTGAATCTCCAACTCATCAAAATAATTCAGCACTGTTTCATCTTCACCATTGATTGCTCTGTATTCAGTCAGCCTTCTCATCAAGCCCTCTTCAGTGTTGTGCGTGCCTGCAACCACGCTCTCTGGCAAGTTCATCACACGAGCACGTAGGAATTCATCTGTGGCATCTAAGCACACAACCACCTCTGGCATGATTGCCTTGTCAAAGCTCCCCTTGCTCTCTTCTTCTGCCTCCTCTTCATCTTCAGCTGAATGACAATGAAAACATTATAAAATGTCAGCATTACAATGTCATAATATCTGTAATATTATACATTTTGATACCTTTTTGATAAGTGACTTGCAGTTTGTTTTTATTAGGGAAAGTTTCAAATAGAAACTAGAAAAAGAAATTACACCTTAGGGAGCAAAATAAAGTCTGATTTTTCATTTTTTCATGGCAGCTCCGTAACATTTAATGTCAAAAGTGTACATTGTGGTTGAGCAGAAAACTGTTACAGTAATGACAATACTTTTTCACAAAAATTTTCAACCATGATTATTAACAATCAAAGAAAGTTTAGACCATGTCAATTAACAGTAGACCTGCATCAGTAGTCTTGATGTGAAATATTACCTGCAAAAAGCTCTGTTGCCTGTTCTCTAGTTTTAGGAAATCCATCCAAGATGAACCCTTGGTTCTGACAGGGCATGGAATGCAATTTTTGTTTGAAAAACTTAATGACATACTGGTCTTCAATTCTGCCATTGTTCTGTTCTTTGCCTTCGTTTATGGCATCCAACAGTTCTTGATCCTCCTGTGCCTTCCCATCATCCTCTTCTTCACCTTCAGGCTCCTGGTTTGCACGGGCAGCACTTTTTGTCTGAAAAAATATGAAAACACATGCAGTACACTTTATGGTTGTTTTGAAATCTCTACCTACAGTGGGATGCCAACATATCTTAAACAAATGTATAGTGCCAAATCCCTTTCTGTTGCAAACCTTTCAATTTACATCAATGAAATGTGAACAACCAATATAGAACCAACAAGGGATTTCTGATTCAGCAGTGAGTGAATACAGTCACTTGCACTTTCAGATTTAAAGCTAAATGGGACATCAATTCCTTGAAAATGTATTCATACCAATGCATCCATTGCCTCCTCAATCACATCTTTGATTTTTATATGATGCAATTTGTAGCTGTCACACAGTTCTTTCACTATCGTTGTCTTTCCAGAAGCTGGGGGCCCCAGGACACATGCTCTCATAGGCTGAAGTAAAAAAAAAAATCAAAATTGATTAAATAATATTGAAAATATGTAGCATCATAGGTATAATACTGTAATTTTACAAGTTTTTGCAATCTCGTGCAATCCCTGTAGATGAAAATTATTTTTTCTTTAATGACTGCATATGTAATAAATACATTTTTTAAATTTTCTTACCATTAATCCTCTACTCTCTTTGTACTCCTTGATTACTGGGATGACATTTTCCATCAAACCAGTCTCTGCTACCCAGCGAATTCTCATGTTCTCTTTCACATAAACAGCATCCATGCGAAGGTTCACCAATAGCATGTCAAAGTCTGCTTGCTGCAAAATAAATTCAAAAACTTTTTTTTATGATGGAAACATTCAGAAGTCAATGATCTCTGTATTCATATCTTCTTTATCCAGGGTAGTATGAGATTCAATACTTATTTAAATTAAAAACTCAATATACAGGTTGATATATCTGGTTACTTAATGCTGCTTTTATTTATGCCAAACCCAAAATATGAGATTTTGCCATTTTACTTTAATGAACTGACAATGTAATCAAAATGAGATTTTGAATGATTACACTGATAAAAAGTACTATGGCAAGTCGCATTTCTTTGAAGTGATATTTAATTTTTCTTTTAAAAAATCTTACTGACAAATACAATCTAAAATGAAATTATATAAATATCAAATTACCTCAATATCTTTGCTGAGAAGAGCCTCTTCTTTACTAATGTGCTTGATTTTTCCAGTTCCCAAGTTAATGCTGACAGCCTGAAACAAAGAGTTGCATGCATTTTTAAACAAGATTATAATTTCTAAAAAAATCACAGTTAATATGACTATTTTTCATCATACATTTAGTTTTTGTTTCATTACAAAGCATGATTTCACACTTCATCTTTCAAAAAATGCCATACAAATACCATACATGATACACATAATTATAAACCAAAATAAACCATTATTGAAAATTTTATAAACATTTATTGCAATGATTATTTGATGCAATATATCTTTTTTAAACTAACTGGTGGGTCATAAGAGATCACAGATCTATGAAAAAGAATAATACCTACTTTGACAATTTCTTCCAGTGTGGTTTGAGAATCATCCACAGCAACAATATATCGCACTTTTGGGCGACTATCAACAACATTCTGGATAACACTGCAAAGAAATTGAGTTGAGCACATTAATAAAATTTTATGCTATTATTTTTCAAAAAGAATAAATACGTTGATTCCAAAAGCTTGTATAATATGGTTTTTGTAAAAAAAGAAATCATGATATCAAATTTTTGTAAAGCAATACAATCTTTCTGGATAAGATTAGCATTCACTACTGAAATTTCTACGTATGGATAACTAAATTATTTGATCATTTTTACACTCTTTTTATGATAGTAATTCATTAAAAATTACAACCAAGAGCTTCAAGTTTTACATCTACTGCTGTAAATACTAAAACATTTTGAAAGACGATGAGTATGAGTATGAGAATCAATTAAAATTATTACGTTATATTATATTATATTATATTATATTATATTATATTATATTATATTATATGAAAATTATAACTGTGGTGGTTAAAATACTCAAATCTGAAAGTATAGGATAAAGTATTTCCAAGTACTGACCCAGCCAGATCTTTGATGTGTATAGTAGGCACGACATTTCCTCCTGGTCCAAAGCACTGGAGTTGTGATGCATTATGCCAGGCAGCCTTATGAGGAGAAAAAAATCTTTCTCAATTTTCAACAAGACAAATTAATTGTTATTCAAAATAACATATATGATATTAAGGTTTCCGCAATTAAAATTATGTGCATTGGTGACTCTAAATTGCTTTGATTACATGTTTTGTTTATGAAGCAAAAAGTTAGAAAAAATAAAACATACAAAACTTGTGCCAGAATTGTTAATATTATTAAAGGCAAAATAGTAAGTACATAAGAAGATAAGAGTTATAGAGCAGAATAGTAAGGAAGACAAAAATAGACTGCTAATAGTAACAGTGAGAAAAAAAGATGAAGAAGCCCCAAAAAATAATATCTGAAAAAACACTACATTTTACTAATTTTAAGAGATATATGTGAAATTTTATTAAAGAATAGCATATCGTACCATTAAAAAATCCTCAAGCAAGAATACTTTTACCCACCTTGAATAGATAATGGAAAATATTTTCTCCTCCTCCATATGTCAGACCAGAAGCAACAACATATGTCACAAGTTTTTGTTTGTTCTGAAACAAAAGTTTTAACATTTAAAGAATGTTTTAATTTGAAAAGAGGCAAAAATTAATAATTATCACGTGTCATTATACCTTATCTGTTTTTTCATCTACTGAAGTCCTTTCAAAAGCCAGTCTTTATTACATATATTTTCTTATATCATAATTTAACAATCTATTTATAGCATTACACTTATTTTCAGAAAATATTTTCATGGCTGATTTATAAGGATGATTTGTATTCACTTGTCCTGACTTCAAATATGTGGTAGGTAAATCCCAGTCCGTCTGATTTAACTTTATTTCATGTTTGGGGCATGCCATATGTGGCAACCATTAGGTTTTATCCGGTGAAATTAAAAAATTAGTTAAAACTGAAATATGAAATTGGTCCTTACTGTTTTGCCAAGTTTGATAACAGTTTTCTCAGCACTAATGTGCTCTTTGAAGTTGGGGTGTGGTTTTCTCCGCCTGTAGTCATCCTCTGTGAAAGGTATCTCTGGATCATCCTGAAAGTAGGAAAAAAACTTGAAAGTTTATATGCAGCAAAGCAGTCCTTGTATTGCAACTAAAATCCATTTGTGAACATCCCTTAAATTCATACTGATCTTTGTTTAAGAAAAGACCATATCTGATCTAAACTTAGACTTCTAATTCAATAATATGTAAAATATCTTTAAACTAAACTAGCACTACTTACAGGGTCCAGAGGTTTGCTTCTTGCCCATGTCATCACAGTTGATATTAGCAAAAACAGTATTTGTTTATCTATCTTTTCTAGGTCAGAATGTATTTCTGAAAAATGAAAAAAAAATTATCTCTATTTATTTAAAATAATTTGGAAAATTGATCGGTAAATACAAGATCTTTTACCATATATTTCACATTGCTACTAACAAAAGAATCTTTTACTTGAAAATGTATTTTTAAATCAGTTATGTAGCCATAATTGTGGCTGCTCAAGTCAGTTCAAAACAGTAACATAAAACAGCAAGGGCCTTACCAGACACAGCCCATGTAGCCTCATCAATCTGATCTGGGTCTTCTGTGATGTCATAAACAATGATGTCACATTCAACTAAATGTTCATACAGCTGCTCCTTAGTTTCATACTACAATGAAAAAGTAAAAAAGCAAAATATAACATTTGTTTACTGTCATCAAATACTACAATTAACTATGCCAAATAATGCACACTTTTATCTTAATAAACAAAATGCTGAATTTTAATTTAAAATACATATACAAGCAAAAAGGCATTGTACAGATAGCTGTTTTTCATCCCTATAACTGCTGGTACTTACGTAAATAATTTCTTTCACAAAATCTGGCTTTTTAGCTTCCTTGTTCTTGAGTGTTCCAATGATTTCATAACAGCCCTCCTTGGGTCTTGCCAGAGTAGCACTATCCACTGACCTGGCATCTTCTTCCTCCTCTTCCATTTCCTCCAAAGATGCTCCCACCACGCAACTGCTGAGGAACTGAAATTTAAAAAAAATCATGTCCTGCATTATGCTGCGGCCTTTCTTTAAGGTAATTTTTGCCTAGTAAGTTACCATTATAGAAGTATAAAAAGATTTCATTACACTAGAAAGACCATGAGCCTTTGTCAGATGTCATGATATTAAATGCATGAGGTTCAGGTTTAGACCTACTAGTATTAACCTGCTTTTTATGTAAAAACAAGTGTTACTTGCAACTGAATAATGAACTATGATTGCATTACTCAGAGATGAAAGATGGGTCATTGGCCAACAAGTACATAATCATTGTTATGAAGCACAAATCATCAATTGCATGTATAAGATATGATTAAAGTGACCCTCCTCACGATTTGCCCACCAAAATGGGGTAAAAGGCAATTTTCTGCTAGTCACAAACCACTGCTCAACTCATCCTACTGCTCTGGGATTGGAAGTCTTATTCCATTTTAGAATTTAATCTTATTTTTTGGTTCTTAATAACTGGCCAGTCATTTATAATAACATAGCCTTCCAAACCTTCACCTTCATGACCTCATTTTCACGCAAGGAATGGTATGGTGTTTTGTATTGCTTCCCTGTTACATGTACAATACAGACCTTGTAAGATGCCAATTCTACCTGAGAAGGCTGAGAAGATAATAACAAAACTAGGTGTCCTTCAGACAAACTTTTATTTAAAGGGTTTTGTCATCTTTAAGATCTAAATTAGGGAAATAAAAGAAGCTTTGCAGGAAATAAATATGACTATGGGGGATTTTCCAATGCGTGGAATGTTTGCATCTAAATTTTTCTAAAATTTCTGTTGTGTAGAAGAAGAATCAATCTTTTTAGCAACTAATAACGCAATCGGTTAATGCACCGAGGCCTATATATTAAATAAAAAACAAAAATACAATAAATATAATATCCATATTATTTTCAAGGTGTTTAGTAAGGAAAAAACTACATAATTGTATCTCAAATACATGCTTTAAACTGTTTGTATTCCTTTCCACACTAAAAAAGAGTTCAAAAGAACTGATTCAGAAATGCCTCATCATCAACTACAGGTGAGACTGGTAAGTAAGATTTCAAAGTCTACCTCCTAACTAAATATATTAAGCAATAATTAACAGAATTTAGCAAATGCCTTAATTCTTCTTTAATGAAGGAAAATAGTATAACATATACAAATACCAAAACTACATAATTGTATCTCAAATGCATGCTTTAAACTGTTTGTATTCCTTTCCACACTAAAAAAGAGTTCAAAAGAACTGATTCAGAAATGCCTCATCATCAACTACAGGTGAGACTGGTAAGTAAGATTTCAAAGTCTACCTCCTAACTAAATATATTAAGCAATAATTAACAGAATTTAGCAAATGCCTTAATTCTTCTTTAATGAAGGAAAATAGTATAACATATACAAATACCAAAAGGCCATGTGCTCTACATTGAATAAATTGCCAGCTTATCAATTCTATAGACAGATGTAATATTCAACAAAATGTTTGAAAACAGTTGAGAATAACAGAAATATAAAATCACCATATTTAATAGCTATATGCTTGTGGCTCTTCTTGAGTGACCAATAAGGCAGCCAACCTGACAATTCATAAATTGTTCAGATTTATATTGAATCAACAATAAAATTTACCTAGTCATTTATTTTGCTTTAAAATCACCTAATTTTCATGTGAATTACCATTTCCTATGTTTATTTACATCCTGAGTTGTTTTCTCTTGTGTATTGCTCTGTATTACATGCATTTTAGTATGACCAATTTTTAAAAATATAAAAATTGATATGTCTTTTGAAGTTTTCTGAACAACCACAAGTAATTTTATAATATTGATTTAATGGGATATGTGCTGTGCCAGTAACCAATTATAATTTAATTTAGAATGGCATTTAGAACAGACTGCTAGTCCAATATTTTGCCACTGATCTTGGTCAAACTTATATATATTCCTCCATCAACAGGATATTTAATCAGGAATTTGTTGAGTTCATTCGTCATTTTAATCAATTTTTCTAGGCTAGTTTGAATTTTATGTGTGCGGTAATAATGGTATTTTTGTTTTAGAAGCTGTTGACTCTGAGTCTGTATATTGAGTAAATTTTATTAAATTCGTGTAAAAGTACCTTATCGATTTTTGCAATATGCAATCTTTTGTGGTATTATACCAGTGATTTAAAGTTGCTTTAAATCCATCAAACGATCAAGGTGACAACCAAGCGTGTGTGCTTTTACTAGTAAATAGTAGAGGTAGTACATTCCTACAATCTGCCCATTCAGTGTGTTACCCAGTACACGCCACTGACTTGATCGTAATCGTCTTCATTATAACCGTACACATAAATGTAATAGCAAATTGTTTACAAATAAATGACTATTAACTACTCATACAACAATTACCTTGGCAATGTTGCGCCCCTCATAACAATCTACATGATTAATAAATAGACGTTTGCTTTTCGGTTTCTCTCCGTCGTCCGCCATTGTTGTTGCTGTGGTGGTCGTCAGGGAAATTAACGATAGAGCGCAGCACTAAACTAAACTAACCTTTACTCCGCTGGTTCTTTTTTTAATAGAATTGTATCTTACAAAGTATTTCAGTATACATTTTGGTTATTTTTTATAATTTGACTTTCATGCAACGTTTTTTCTCTTTTGTTGAAGCTGTGTAAATTTTCGTTGTAGTGCTATTAATTAGAGAGTAACTCTGGATCGAGAATGTCCTCGTGATGCCACATAGGCATGACGTCATTTTTTCAATGCACAGGTACCCCCTCTAAGGAAACATTGGTCATTCTAAGGAGGAAGCCATATTGGAAAACAGAGGGCAGTGTTGGTCCATCAAAACGCCCCATAACAGCTGAAACTCTTTATTGTGTACTATAACAGGACTATTTAAAGTGGCTTTTAGACTGCCATGACAACCATGAATCCGGAATAGTAAGTATCATGCGACGATCATCTGTAGATTTCAATTTTCTATGAAAAAAATTGTGAGTCACTGACAACGTCATCACCTGACTTTTACAGTTTTATTCTCTCATTTTCATCTATTGTTTTCCCTTTCTTGTCTCAAATTACGCATGTCGTCCCATTTTATCTTTGGTAAGTGTGTTTATTGCGGTTCATTTTATGATTTTCATAGTAACCTGTGGATCGGAGTCTTGGCATTTGAGTCAGTCGAATTTGAAACTAAGATAATTTACGGAAGTGAAGGAAAATGACAGTGCACTGACATTGCTTTGTCATTCCGTTAGTCGACATTTGATGTGGTATATATATGTTATCACTTTGCTTTTAAGGTCACACACTGAAGTGGTATATTGTAGTAATACAGTTTGACATGTAGGTTGAAGAAGTTGCCCCCCCCCCCCCATTTTACAGCCTAACGTAATGTATTGACGCATATGCGATTTATCTGTCATATCCAGTAAAATGGATTTGAAACTGAAACACTTTACTTTTGTTCTGTCAACCATACCCCAGGATATTTATGGCAGAATATATCCTGTTCTAGACGTGCACGTGTGAAATCGCATATCTCAGTTTCATTACTTATTGTTACTTAGTGTACCTCTTTGTGACAGAGAACTTATTCAGGGCAATTTATCAACTGCATGCTGATTTTGTCATTTAGCCTTTGCTGTATTATTTTTGTCGCTATATTTGAGTAATGTCAATGGATTAGGGTTGGAATCGTAAGTAGACAGGTAGCTTGTATGTAAAGTACAATAAGAGTAAAGAGAAGATAATTATGGGCAATAGGTAGGAGCTTGATATATTGATACTCGTAGTGAACAATGTGAAAACATACCTCAAAAATTGTCACTGAAAAAGAATTTATTGATGTGGTAATAGTGATAATGACTCATTAAACATATCAGTCAGCATCACTCATTTGAGCACCAACTATGTTCAATCAATATTCCCATTTTGTCATTAATATATGAAATTATTAAAACAATGTTTTATGTTTGGTATGTTTAATTAGTAATTCTATATATATGTAAATACTTGGAAATATGCTAATTTGAATCCGTTAATATTTATGATATTTGATATGATAATTTATTTTACAGAGTTATATTTGTCTATCTTCAGTTGATATGTTAACTTTGATTTGTGCTCATTTCAGTGATTACCTGTTCAAACTGCTTTTGATTGGAGATTCTGGAGTGGGAAAGTCTTGCCTTCTGCTCAGATTTGCAGTAAGTAAACTGTGGATACATATTCCATAGTCTCATCACATTTTATATATATATAAGGAATACATATTTACTTAAATTTGCAGTGTGTTAAGTAAGTTGGTGGCAAAAAGGAAATTTCAGAAGGTGTGATATCTGTGTTTTAGCAAAGATTTGACCATCTGGATAATCTATAATGTTATCTTTTCCAGGATGATACTTACACAGAAAGTTATATCAGTACCATTGGTGTTGATTTTGTAAGTACAAGCTAATTACTTTTAATTGCGTTCTTTATGTCTAAATATATTATCCTTACCAGCAACAGTATCTATTTAACTATGATGAATGATTTTCCCTTAATGTTAAACCATGGAACCAAATGTTAGATTTAATTTGCATAACATGCTTTGAGTGACATGTAATCGAGAAGCATGAAAATTATTTACAAAAAAAGAAAATGACAAAAAAATGATTTTGGTCACAGATAATGAGATTTTTCCTGACATATTTGTAAACAACAACAACATAAAAAAGAATGGAAAATATACTTCTGAATAACTTGTAGGATGTGAAGTGAGTCTGAGTAATGACATGTAATATGGATTTTTTAAGAATCGTGCCATTTTATGGGATTGGCCCAATTTTCTCTGCAGGTTGAAGCCACTAGCTACATAGTGATGAATGACTTGTATTGCTGGCACTGTGACAGTTGTACACTGTACAATGATGTCAAATCTGTGCGTGTTGTTCAAATTACAGTCAGATAAACCATTTATTAAGTTCTTGAAGCCATCAAATGAAATAGCAACTTGTCATTTTTAATATGGCTCTAACTTGAAAATATGATTCATCATTTTATTCGTGTATTTTATTTTGTGTTGTAGAAAATAAGAACAATAGAATTAGATGGGAAAACAATCAAGCTACAAATAGTAAGTATGGCAGATACTAAAACATATTGGCATAAACGTGTTCAAGTAATCCTCAAATTTCCATACATGCACAGGACTATTTTTAATTACAAAAGTTCTGTAAGTTAAATGGAAAAATAATTGGTTGGTCCTCTTTGTTATGCAATTTAGTGACACATGCTCCTGCAGCTGAAGATACTTCTGACAGCTGATAAAGGTTGCAGCTGTGGTTTTGTTGCATCAAGTTAAAAATATCATATTGCCTTGCAGTGGGATACAGCGGGTCAAGAAAGGTTTCGAACTATAACATCCAGTTACTACAGAGGCGCTCATGGGATTATTATAGTGTACGATGTCACAGATCAGGTAAGATGTATAGCATAATGTATCAAAGTCTTCTTTGTTTGAACTGTATGGGCCAAAATAAAAATAGTCAAAAAAGTGATTAATCGAAAAATGGTCACAATATTTTCATTTATGTCTCCTTGATCTCAGTTGAAGTAAGAATTAGGATATGTCCGCGTTAGTAATGTAACAGACACAAGTGTGATGTTTGAAATTTGGCCTGTGATGGCCGCTTTTATTGGAAGTCGCATTAATAAAAAGATAAACTTCCCTTTTTTTTAGGTCTTATAGACTTAAGTCTGCAATTGACAAGTTATTATCATTGTTATATTATTGTTCTTATGAGCAATTTTAAGACTTTGTAGAATGCGTGATTGTTATTATTTGGTGATTTATTGTTTGCAGTAGTCATACGCAGGTGTACTTGTTCATAAATTGATTTATATTTCGTTCGACTAAATTGTTGCATCAGTTATATTATTGACACACCATTATCATGCCTGTTAACATTCTCTGTTAGAGCAAGGGTTTTTAGGTGAAAGAGTACTTATCACCTACATTGATGACATTTTGAAAATAAGAGCAATAAGCTTGGTTTCTGTAGACTGAAAAATTCTGATACTTTGGACTAGACTGATATGTGACCATTTGAGTGGTCAGTGTTCTTAAGATTAAGCCAATACCACAGAAAAATCTGTTTCTAAAGATTTCAAGGGGTTATAAATTGACAAGTTGTGCAGAGACTACTTTATTCTATAGTACCACTTGCTTATTTGTTAAAGAATTTGGACAAAGGTTTTTATGTAATAAATTTGGTGGTTTATTTCAGGATTCCTTCAATAATGTTAAACAGTGGCTCCAAGAAATAGATAGATATGCTAGTGAAAATGTAAACAAGCTTTTAGTTGGCAACAAGTGTGACTTGACTACCAAAAAAGTAGTAGATTACACAACGGCCAAGGTAAGCTTTATTTTTTCAAAAAATTGATAAGACTGGATACATGTTAATGTTTTTATTGATGGATAAAAATGTTAAGTTGAATGCTGAATGACAATGCAATCAGTTGTTTCAATTAACTTTCTAGTTCCCCCCTATTCTCAAGTTTATGAATATCATTAGGTGTTTTGGTCACAAAAAATGTATGAATGTTGTATCACCACTCAGTAGATCCATTTTTGCCATTTCAGGAATTCGCTGACCAGTTGGGCATTCCCTTTCTAGAAACAAGTGCAAAGAATGCCACAAATGTTGAGCAAGCCTTCATGACCATGGCTGCAGAGATCAAGAATCGCATGGGCCCACCAGTTTCATCAACAGGAGGAGATTCCAAGTCAAATGTGAAAATAAACGCTAGCACGCCAGTCAAACAGAGTGGAGGTGGATGCTGTTAAAACTAGCTGATTAACCCTGGGGGGAGGGGAAGTAAATAGTGATAAATGGTGGAGATGTTAAATAAGTTATTTCAGCAAATGGAATACTGGAATAAACACAGGCCCCAGTCAGATATATTTTATTTAGCTGAAATCACCTACTCTGGCCATTGCTCTTATAACCAAGATTAAGGTGACGTTATTTTCTCATCTTTCTGCATCATGGACTGTATATTTGAAGTGACTGGTTTTGGTGCAGAAATTTAAAGGGATGATCAGCAAACTTTTTTTCCTTTTTAAATTTTTTTTCTTTTAGTAGGCTGATTGAGAAAGTTGAAGTAACTGCGTAATTAAAGACAAGGTCAGATTATAATGAGATGATACTAGAAAATGCCAAACGTCAATATAATATTTATCTCGCACTGTGAGGTGGTAATTGATGGAGTGTCGAAGCAAGTTTGGAAAACCATATCGGTGCACAAGTTGTTCCTGGTATGTTGTACGCTAATGACAAAACTTTTGTACAGAAGTTAGAAATGTAATTATTATTATTATAACATTAACTATCCGATATGTGGGCTTAGTCAAAGTATAGATAATTCCTTTTGGGGGTAATGTTCTGTGTCCTTTGTGTTTGGATGTAGCTGTCAATGTTTGATATGGGGACTTGCTTTGTAGTGTTAACTTTCATTCATTCTTTCATAGAGTTAATTACAGCATATCCATTGCATTCTACACCGCCAAGCAAAGCCCCATGTTAAGGAACAAGATCGGACTTATATAAAAGTTTTCAGCTTTTGTATGTATGTATAGGTGAATAAGCTGTGCACAATGTACACTTTACATAAATTGTATCCTCTGTTAATAAAAGTAAATAAGGATATTAAATATGATTATATGTACCAATATATACTGTGACCTGTTTTGTGAGTTGCTCTTTTACCATAGCTTAAATGTTTTCGGTGGTGACCATTATAACCGATTAAATTCAGCGAACATGGTGAAAGTCCTTGGAATGCATTCAGTACAAATAAATTTGGTGAAAGTTAACCCCCTACCATACGATGGGCAAAATTTGTAGTATCCGTAATAAAGGTAATTTTGACGATAATGTACCGCTGTGTTATAGCATAATGAGGATTGTTCTCATTACCATCCTCAAAAATGGTACAATTTGTGGGCTATTCTTGATGACGGGATGAAAATCGGTTTTAAATGGTATATGGAAATGCTGTTATGGCTTGTACGAAAGGTTGGATTGTGTTGGGGAAGGGGTGCTCACAGTTCTCTAGCATTACATCTCAGCGGCGGATTTAGAGGGGGGCCTGACCCCCCCCCCCCCTTCGATTTCTGTAAAAAATCACACCTATGGTCCCATCAAATATCACTCAATAATGTACATTGTGTTACATATTTTAATATCTCAATATCTCAACTATTTATTTATTGATTTTATTCATCTTATTCTGTTCATTTTACCCCTCAAAAGTCTACCGAAAATTTTGTATGGATTAAACTATAAATAATTGTAATTATTATTATTAGAAAAGGTGTGAGAATCTGCGTAAGGTGGGACTTAGTGCGAAAAAAGCATTAATTAAGTTTCCTATGGGTCATGGTAACTTTAACTCACCGGTCTTTAATGTTTATTTTAAAAAAATGTTTTCATAAAAAGAAATTGATTCTGAAAAACAGACAGAGTCAACAAAATATTTACATGTGAAGTCATTTAAAAGGCATTTAGTAAGGAATTCATCGATCGTCAAAGGCATTCATGTAAATTGTTTTAAGGAGTCCGTTCAGTTAGTTGGCGATGCAGTTCCAAAGAGTATTGTTTACACTTACGTTCATAAAAAGCCCAATATAACTATTCTGCATCTCTACCATCTAAAAAGCGACCCATATTTAGAAGAATTAGAAATTTCTATAAGGGGAGATTGAGTTACAGGACAAGATACCATTCTTGACCAAGATGATTATTACGTCAACAGTGTCGGGTTCAATGCCCACATTGGACATATATTTATTAACGTGTGTTTTAAATATTTTAATTTCAAGGTAAAGAGTACAGGTAAATACGCCAAATACGCAGGTGTCTTTGTATCCTCGTCGGTGGCGCAATGGGTAGCGCACCTGGTTACAGAGTTACGAAACCTTCTTCGACGCCAACAGACACGAAGACGCCTGAGTTGGTTACGTGTAGGCCAGGCTAGGTGTAGGTCGGATCAGGCTTAGGATGTAGGTCATCCTAAGGATAGCTTAGGAGTAGGGATAAAACTTAGAAAACCAAATAGGCGTTGAGATATGATGTAGAAAATCCAATTGCATTGACAAAAAATAAACAAAGTTTATATAAAAAAAGTGACCTTTTCTCACATATCCAGTTTGGTGTTTGGATTAATTTAATGTTAACTAGCAGGATAGAGACAAGTGTTGCGCAGTATGTGACCTCTTCTGACTTTGGGCTTTCTCCGATGATTTTCATTAATACGAAAAGGAGTCTACATTTATCAATATACGCAATGAACAGGTATAAAATAATGAATGAATAAATAGATAGATAGATTCATATAAAGACAAACGTTTAAAAGAAAAGAAAAGAAAGAAAGAAAGAATAAAAAGATCGTTGATGTGAAAAAGGATGTATGAGAAGCAGGGTTTATTTAGAAAAGGGAGTAGAAATAAAAGTTAGAAAATGAAACAAGCAAAATAGTGATTTCTCGAAAAATTTTTTCTGACATTTCCAATATTGTTTTGCTTGTGTTAATTTCAGTGTAGGTCAGATCAGGCAAAGGTGTAGGTCAGCCTAGGAGTAGCTTAGGAGAGCGGTGCAACTTGGTCCCCCTGACGTCAACTGCGTTTTTGTCAAATTGTGAGCCATCTGGCATTATATCTGAAAAATATTGACGTTGCATACGTAGCTTAGTTCATGGGGCTTACTTTGAAATCGGTTTTGTTATTCCAACTCATTCCTAGTTGGCTCTAAAAGGCCAAGTGTCTAACTGCGCCAACTAGCCCCGGTCTCCCCTATTAGATAAAGAAGCTGAGTGGCCCATTGCTGAATGAGACGTAAACGGAACTTTTTTTCAATTTGTCATAAATTGGTTTAGACAATCATATGGCTTTATCTAAATTCCTATGAAATCTGATTTTATAATTTGAAAATTTTGTCTGTTATCATTCATATTTTCCAAACCAAACCTGTATATACACTGACCTGGGCATGCATCGGTCTCCAAGACATCTAAGACTGTTATTGGTCTTGGTTATTTTCAGATACTTGTACTGTTTACTTGACACCTATATGTGACTTGTCAAACCATGATGATTCAAGGCGGAAATCAATAGTCAGAATAACGAAAATAAGTTGGATTATGCAAGGTACAGGCTTAATTTTTTAAGCCTGATACTGTCGGTGAACGAGATGCGGAATCCACACATTTCGAAATTTATTTCATGAGAGTAATACGATAAAAATCGAAGGATAACAGAAAAAAATAATTAGAGAGTGGGACTTCAAATAGTCACGTCCGCTTTAGGTCATCTGTGTCTGCGGAAAAAGAAAAAAAATCATAAGGGGAGCATTAAGTAGTTGCATGTTTCAATTTGTTTTGTAACTAAAGAATGAAAAGCAAATAAGGCAGTTAAGGCAAATTAACAGAAATTGTAAAAAATGATTCAACGCTAAATAAAAAAAAACGTACTTTTAGGCTCAGGTCTCAGCATTGTCAATTGCCGGTGAGTGGTACTTGATCCTTTACTCCCCTTCCAATTATGGCTGAAGGTAGATAAAATAAAAACTGGATCCGTTAACAGAACGATCACTTTATGACCCAAACAATAGGGGTATAAACTCACATGCTAAAGATAACACTTTTTCATCTACATATATGAAAGCATATATCAAAAATTCGTTCACTGTTTTAAAATGACGGAAGGGCAGAGAGATATTAGAGTACTTGTAGCATACAAACAAACAAACAAACACACACAATATATATACTGGTATATATATATATATATATATATATATATATATATATATATATATATATATATATATATATAGCGCGCGCGTGTGTGTGAGAGAGAGAGAGAGAGAGAGAGAGAGAGAGAGAGAGAGGACTTGATAGAGAGGGAATGAAACAGGCTCAAAACTAAAGGCCTATATAAAAGAAATTTTTCTGGGGTATATAAATTGTGGAAGCCTTTCTGCAGTACTACTAAATAATATAATATAATATAATATAATATAATATAATATAATATAATATAATATAATTTTTAGTGACTTACTGTTTTGAGGAACGTCACATCTTTGGTAATATGGCCCAAAATCATTACGCGAAAAATATTGCCCAGGTCCGGAGTAAAGGGTACATTGCCCGTTCCCTAACTGGACCGCAACGCATCGTGCCATTTTTTCACAGGCCTGGATGCAGCTTTGGACATCATGGATATTTTTCTCAGATAAAAATGTTCTGTCGTCCGGCATGGCAGCTCCTTGCACCCAGCAACTGGTAACTGTTAAGGTTGGAATTGTTAATAAATATATTACTTTACAACAATTATAGGGTGGCCATCATATTTTATAAACCATCATCGTGAACGTGGAGAATTGTTGTGTTGCCTGCAGTTGACACCAGATCTTATTCATTTATTTCATATATCATTTTTATGATTTATTGTTTTTATTATTATTATCATTAAAATTTCGTCATTTTGTGTTTGTATGCATGCACAATGAAACAAACAAACAAACAAACAAAAAAAACATGACCAGTCAAAATCTCAGCTGCGAAAAAAACGGTTTTGTGGGAAACATGATATACAAAACTGACGAACCCTGACGCTTAGGACAAGTAACGAAATCTAAGTCAGGTTAAATAATCTTTTCTAACCTGCGGTTGGTGCTGAAGTTGGCCTAGTGCATGCTTTTGGGAGCACTCTGGTCCATGGAGCCTGAGGAAAACTCGACATGCCGTGTATTATTAGTTTCCATGACTTGAGGAAGCCTATAGAAAATAAATATGTATGAATCCTTAGTTATGTACCTTTTCTTGTGTAGATTTTCAGTTGCGTGATAGATTAACGCCTTAATTGCACGAGCATGCGCAGTTTCTTTTAATCAAAATTGCTTTTCTGAAAGGTGTTGTGAAAGTTATTTTGTAAAATTTGTAGACACGGCATTCGGTTTTGAATAAATTTGAGTAGGATTAGATTTTTTTATTTGACCATTAAATGTAGATCGCAAAAATAAATAATATACATACCATAATATAACATTATATTTGGGTAGAAAAAACACATTAAAACTAACTACCTGTAACTTACATGATAATATTTCATGCGTTTTCACGTGTTATCATCTTAAATGATCTATTGATCAATAAGAAGTGTATAGAGATTGACGGGATCTATTGTCATAACGCGTTTACCGGTACCTTGGTTCTGACGATTGAATATATCTTGCACCGAGAGTTTCCATGCGCCATTAAAACCAGATACCACCGATTCACCCCAGAACTGAAAACTCTTCACCTATAATCACAAATAAAAGTGTAAGAAAAGTATTACACATGAAAACATCAATAATTTGCTAATTTCATATACATATATTGATAAACAAAATTTACTGAAAAAAATAAAGGACGAAAGTAGCATCAAATAACAACACACAGCGAAAAGGGCACTCGTTTTCTGCCAAGTGTCCTTACTAAAGGATTAATGTTTGTCCGACTATGTTTATAAGCTTTGGCCCTTTGCTAAAGAAAAAAAAACAGCAGGGTGTTACCTTCCATGTCAAACTGTTACTGTGAGTGTCGACCCGTCTTCCAGGTAAAATTTCTCGACTGGTTCCGGACGGTGAAGTTAATGTCATTTTCACGTGGCCTCTTGCTGAATAAGTCAAATCAAAAGCCACCTCTATCTCTTCTATGAATTGGATTTTGCACTGGTGTGAAGAGACATAGACTAAAAAGTCACTCGGAATTCCACTGAAAAGATTTTATGAGCACAGTGTCTAACAATTGTCATGAAAAAAGTGCGTTTTTATATGCGTGGGTTGGCTGGCAGGACCTGGCATTGTTTAAAAAAAGGGAAAACATTGAAAATCAAGGGAGGACTAACGATCAACAGCTCAAATCCATTTTGACAGAAAAAAATTAATCAGCATATGCATTAATTTAAAATATACTTACTGTGCGTGCGAGTTTACCTCACATGTCACTAAATTCGAGGTGCCACCCACAGTTTTCCAGTTATCCACATGTGCCATTTGTACCATCTTCTCTACATCCAGCACTCCGAACCCCATTGAAGGGGACACTGAAATATCAAATAAAAGCATCACAAAGAGTACAAGCTAAAATGTGTTTCAGACATTCCATATACGTACTGATGTTGGATACGGAGATGTTCTCCGTTGGCATCAAAAGAAAACGTTAAGACGAATAATTAAATTGAATGCTTTGAAGATTTAGAAAATACCAATACTCCATGGTTTTTCAATAAAATAAGCCTCGGCGTATCTAGGGTGTCAAAAAATTGTGGTTCTTCCCCTGTACCCAACTGAAAACATTAAAGTTTTATGTAGGCCTACGCGTTTGAAAATTCCCCAAAGTTATATTTTAATGTTTACATATCTTGCCAAGATACTAATCTTTCCTAACTAAGACCTTAAAACATTAAAAAAAAAAGCCCTCAAATAAAAGAACATGCCGACAACATTTCCGGATCCGTCTGAAATTTAAATGTGCAGGGAAACATGGCCGTTAAATCAAAAACGAAATAAAACATGGAATCCAAGTGCAGGGACGAGTCAGGCAAGGATTTGTGACTTGAAGGCAATTGCCCCTTTCTTGAGTTTATTTCATTTTGGAGGGTAAATAGATTTAAATTCAGAAAGTAAGGTAATCAGTATGAGATAAAAACATTCAACAAATGTAAAACAAACACAGAAAGCCTACCTAAGTATCCGGCAGCGTTTCTCTGAAATTCATTGGGCTGAACATTCGAGTTGGCTGACCGAGCGATGATATGCTTTACGTCTCTCCAAGTAAGGGAAGGACTAAATATTGTAGAGATAAACTGATTGTGTGAATATTAAAATGCATATATGAATACCTTGATTGACTGAATAAAGGAAGTAAAAAATACAAAATTATTCATTACCGTTACTGTTAGTAGATGAAAGAAACTGAAACTTTAACTAGTCATGTCGTGTTCAGTTATATATCTTTCTCTTCTTATTAATGTACACATAATACTACTGATATTGCCTTTGTTAAAATGAGAATATTGAGCCTACTTTTCCTGTAATATGATTGCTATGGCCCCTGCCGCCATGGGAACCGCAGCGGAAGACTGCCCAAAAAACCGAGTGCAACGACTATCGCCAATAGTGCTGATCTAAAACAAATGAAAAGTTAGTAGTATTTTCAGTTGGACAACTATCTCTCTCTCTCTCAAACACAGACACTCATGTGTTCAAATTTAATGTGCCCAAATCGAATGCAGAAGAAACTCGTTGGTACATGTAAACTACCAAAGATAAGCTTCGTACACAAATTTCCAGTTTTCAAATCAATGGCGCTGTTATAAAAAGGAATAAAAATGACGGCTGACAGAGAAGGCATATATATATATATATATATATATATATATATATATATATATATATATATATATAAACACAGCACTTGGGGTTTTTTATATTAGCTTACCACGTCGCTAGATCCAACATTCTGGGAAGGGGCCGCTGCAAACACCGCACTGCAAGATTCTCCATTAATAAGCTTACGATAATTCCTATCCACACCAGAAATGCCAAGCGAGTATATATTATTAATATATCCATCATAAGCACAACTGTCATCAGGACCTCCATTTCCCGTCGCCCACAGGTAGATGGCCCCTTTCCCACCTCGACCCTAGGTGGAATGATGTTGGGGTAGATGAATGGGATGAGGTAGATAAAGAGGGTAAGGGAGGAAAGGAGGAATTTAAAAACCTTCACAAATAATACAAATTTCTCGATGCCTTGCAAAAATTGAAATAAGATTTTTAAAAAATGGCGTAGAAAATTCAATCGATAACTTTCAGTGCTAGTTTATTTGCCTTCGCAGTAGCAACGTTTATTTTAAGTTATTTTTCATCACCTGTAATGATAAACATGCAACTCACATTTCTTGTCCCAGATTTGAGGACATCCAGTACAGCTGTGTTCGGGCCACCAATATGAACACCAGAATTTATCACGCCCCAACTATTAACATATATACTTATTTTGTCTGTTCTGAAGGACAGCGCCTTGGCCTCGAGATCAAATTGAGTTGTTGTGGTTTTCAATCCAAAGATGCGCAAATCTGAAATGCAGTTGTATGTTTAAACTGTTTATTAATATATGGGACAAATGCAGAGCAGCCATTCACGTAAAAAAAAATAAATATTGGATTTCAATTTTCTCTGCCATTAGCTGTAACACAGTGGTTTCATCACCAGTACATGAACATGTAAAAACTAACAGATCATCGAATCATTTTAACACTTACAAGTATATTTTAAGATTGTTTTTATTGTAAAATCCAACTTTTTAAGTTGCAAATAAATACATATTATTATTATTATTATTATTATTATTATTATTATTATTATTATTATTATTATTATATCATGCAAAGAGACACTTAAAGGGATAATAACTCTTCGTTTCGGCCGAAAAATGAATTTTCCTGGAGTAAACAACAATTTTCCCATACTAACCAATGGTTAATGAATCCATTTTTACATTCAAAGTTAGTCCCTGTTTTTTTTTTTCTAAAAAGTTTGGTTTTTTGTTAAAATCTCTTCAGAGATTTTAACAGAGTATAGCCATCAATGGAGGTCACGTGATCTAAAGACAAGCTCAGATATCAGAATAATAGCTATAACTGCCGTTTTGTGGTAAAACATATCTTATATTTCTATGAGTTATTCACAATGTTTTTATTGTGAAATATAGATCTCATACGAAGAGTTATTATCCCTTTGATAAAGTAAGAATTACTTACTTGCAATTTTGGCGTCTGGCGCCACTCCTACTCCACAGAAATCGTTCATCTTTGCAGCCGCTATCCCCGCAACCTGGGTACCGTGGCTTTTAATATATGATGATCACATTTTAAAATTATTGCATTATGATTTTTGATTAGTAATATATCAAGTAGTTGTTACCGCTCCACTTCTTTGTTGCGACTTTGTGTGTGTGTTTTGAGAGAGAGAGAGAGAGAGAGAGAGAGAGAGAAAGAGAGAGAGAGGTCTTAGGCTTAGCTACATAGAAAGGTGCACAATGAATGGAAACAATATCTAAACTAACATGCAACATATTGCAGTAGGGATCTACCTATCAGTCTTGCTTGTACCGCCTCGAAAATCCCGACTTAAACTAGAATCCTGGAAGTAAACGAGTAAACTCAATTACATGGCGTTCTTAGAACATTTAGTGAATTTTAACAATGGAACTAGGACATCATCTTATAAGCTAGATTTAAACTGCAATGAATATCTTACAGATGAAAAACACTGGTTGTCTTACCACATTGAGGTCACGGTTGTTTTCCACGCCATCGTCAACCACGGCTATATTTACGCCAGCACCGGTATAACATCGAGCCCAGCCACTCTCCGCCTTCATTCCGTCTAACTAAAGAATTAATAAAAAATACACCGTTTTATCCAAGTATTACACGAAGAGCATTTCCTCTATAGGTGGTTTTCAATCAAAGGTATGGGGTTTTTAGTACCATTGTAGCGAACTGAAGTTGTTTAACATTTTTTACTTTAATATACAGGCCCGTAGCCAGGGGGGTTCGGGGGGTTCGAAAGAACCACCCCTTTTGCTGGGAAAAGGTCCACTCTGGGAAAAATTTGATCTAGGTACAAGATGTTTTTATGGAAAAAGGTCCACTTTTTCAGAAAAAGAACCCCCCTTTTGGAACTGCTGGCTACGGGCCTGATATACCATGTGCTTCGAAAATTTTCATCCGTCGAATTTTTTCCAAATCGTGCCAAAAACCGAAAATATAAGACAGTGCAAAGTGCTCATGCGTTTTAGCTCCGTGTAGAACATTGCTAATCATTTTTCGAGCGGCGGGTATTCTTTCCGTTTAACGCATATGGTTAGCCATTTTCATATTGAGAATAACTTGAATCTAATATTTGTAAGTGTCTGGGAAATCAAATAATATCATGGTTATTGCGGTATCCTTCTTGCTTAACATTCAACAACCGATAAAAGGAGCACATCATAAATATTAAAATCCTGTTACAGAATTTCGGACCTACCAGGTACCATTTTTGATCATTCCAGTTTGGGTCTTGTATATCAACGGTCGACGACATGAGCTCGCGCTCATTTTCTGTCTGTTGTTGGACCCAAAGCACCTAAGATTGTGGTTTCACAAAGAAAAACATCAAAAGTGGATGAAGACAATTTTAACTAATGTAAAGGATAGGAAAGTTATGGAATTTATAGTAGACTGCATTTAATTTTTACTTACTGAAAATTATTTAAACATGGACAAATTCATATATTGTTTAACGAAATTATGAAAAAGCTCAGTTTTTGCACTTTTGATAAGACACTAATTTGAGAAATATGTATGCAAATATTAACTTCTTACATTCTGGTGTCTTCCGATGGCATCTGTTAAATCCGCTGTCTCTTGCGCGGATCGTGTTGGTAGGCCTTCATGTATTAATGTGTAATAATTTTCAAATACCTAAATACATAGTTCAAAAAAAAGATATAGTTGTCATTGAAAGTTTCTATCACAAAAAAGGATTTATCGAAAGCCAATGTTTATTGAGACGGTCTCACGGACACGAAAACTACCTAGGATCAAAATTTCGCAGGAAACGGAGATTTTGCATGTGTGTGTGTGTGTGTCTGTGTGTGCGCGCGCGCGTATGTGTACGCAAACATGTTTGTTATCAATTTTGATGTGCAGGCTCGCTCGCATGTATTCGTGTGTGTGTGTGAGAGAGAGAGAGAGAGAGAGAGAGAGAGAGAGAGAGAGAGAGAGATTTTACGTGATTTTGATATTCGGAAGAACATGCTTTGAATGTTATTACCTGTTCTATGTACTGAAGGTTGTATTCAACTGCTACAGCTTTTGCCTCATTTTCATCTCCGTTAACTTTTACCATCCACTTATTTGTAAACTGCTCACTATGAAAAAACAATTTAATATTCATTGATTGCAGTCAATAGTGTAATTCCGCCAATTACCCGAGGAGCCACTTGTAGCCACAGATACTGTCTAAGTTATTTCTTATTCTATTGATGCAAAGCATATACAGCATGAGATAATAAAAAAAGAGATGTGAAAGTGAAAAAAAAAGAAAACTCACCCATAATTTCCTACCAGTGAAAGGCAGATGATGAAAAGTTTTATTATTTGCATGTTAACTGCTGATCAGCTCGTCGTCTTCAGTGCTGCGTAGATATCACGCTAAGAACATGACCACTGCCAAAAGTTAATACTTTTCGCCGATAAATAAACGTAGCTTTGAACTTCTGTCAGGTTTGAAAAGAAAGTATAATCATAAATACACGAAAGGTATTTTGACTTCCCAAAGAATTTTTACCCTGAGTATCAGAGTACATAAAGTACAGAATATGATCTCTCATACTTCTGCTACACTGTACCGTCGATGTTAACGGTGTAGGTTTGCTAAGAATTGAGGTGGACTTTGGGTTGATTATGAAATTGCTACTAGGCTGTCTGGATACATTTTAATGGAATATATTACACCGATCTGTGTGTGAACGGTTCACACTTTTTATAACAACATATTATTCTTAGTGGATAAAGTGGATAAAGATACTCGTATATCTTGAATACTTTATAGATAAAGGGTGAAGATACTTAAAAATACTCACCTGCTGACAAACTGCGGATACCAATCACACTTAACAGCCGCACCTTCGTGACACTCTTATCAAGATGTCAAAGTGATTATCTTCTAACCATATGTTAGTTTCTCGACTAAAAACATTTTAGTCCAGATTCTGAGCCAATATAGCTTAAATAGGATTTTGTTTCCTCCATCCTAGTGTACCATCAACTTTCGTAGTCCCATCAACAAAAAGAAAGAAGGCAACAAAGAATATTGATTGTTCGAGATTTGGCCAAACAATGCCACTTTTATTATATAACCCCGCTATCCTAATCATTTTAACAATTTTAACAATGTACAAATTGTTGCCTGTATTAAATGTTATGGCCTTAAGGATAAAAATATATACCAAATATTCAATAAGACTCTTCATCCTAAAATTATGATGAAACGAGTCAGCAAAAGTTTCGTTTGTGGAGTTGCAAAATGGCCCCTAGATTCTGGGCCGATATTGCAGGAATAAGTTTTTCTTTTAAAATCGACATGAAGTCACTCGGTCAATACTAGATATACGATTGAAAATCTCGCTTGCATTCGGGTATGTTGCTCATTCTATTGTCATTTTCACGTCAAATACATGCATATAAACACTATAATAATAATAATAATAATAACATGTTTTCTTACTTATGCCTATTACCCCTTTTGGAGCAAAGGCCACCAACAAGATCTTTCCATCTTTCCCTGTTTTGTGCTTTCCTGTCTAGTTGTTTCCAGTTCATCCCAAGTCTTTTTCAGAAAAAAGCAGGAAATGCCCCAAAAACTTATCAGAGAAAAGGAAAGAAAAATGTTCCGGAATCTTTCAGTTTTAACCTTTGGTATGTGCTAATAAAAATAATTTCACGACTAACACTTGTAAAAAATGCAAACATCTCAAAATGCTCAAATGTAGGAGTAACAGACTGTATTTATTTCAGAGGGTCACTGACTTTTTTTACCCCTCCGCATATATCACAAAAATGAACTTAGAATGTTTAATCTTATCTGTGGTCACAATAAAACACGTTTAATTCGTTTCATTATTCCAGGCATTTCAAAAATTCTCGGAGCAGCTAGTCTGTCTTAGTTAGATGCATAGCAAATTAAAGAAACCAAATATAGCAAGTGTCTCTTTTCCTTGCAGAAGTCGCAGTTACCCTATTTATTACTAAGTCAGATTGTTGTTTTTGGCGAGTGATTGCCATATCAGCAGGTGTTTGCACTCATTGACAACATCTCTCTTATTTTTCACTAGATGATTGACAAGATTGACAAGCAACAGCCAAAACAGGTCAGTTAACATCAATTCAGTTGTTCATTTCATCACAATTGTATTTAAATAATTTTAATTATCCTGTTGCCTCACTCAAAGGCTAACCGTTGTACGTGAAAAATACTAGATAATTTATGCACAATAAAAGTGAAAAAAGTTTTAAAAATAAGTAGCACGAGTGGCAGAATGGAGAAAGAAAGTGACAGAAAAGAAAGATAAAATGGAAAAAAGAAAACGAAAGGTATGCAGATAGTAGAAAACATAGGTATACAGAGAGTAGTAAAATATTACAGACGCGATAAGAAGAAAAAAAGGATAGTACAAATAGAGAAGAGAAACAAAGATGGCAGTAAAAGATGAGCACAATGAGCTAGTAAATATCTGCCCAAATGTCTAAACATCAAGTTAAAATAGTGGATCACACAATAAAAGATACTTCTCCAAATACTCAGAAAAAAATCTGAAAATGTTTAGTAAAGACTAATAGTCGATAATACGCGAGCACATCTAACACATTCTTGATCGGCATTTGGATTAATGTTTTTGCTAGCTTTTATTACCGTATCAAAATAATGCTCATACAAATATTAATGGTAACTTTAATTTACGCTTAATTCTCGCAGAGTCAAAACTGACAACTTCGCCTTGTGAAGGCAGACAGTTTACATCTTCAACTTTATTAGTCTATTATACAAAACTGTAAAACTAAACAGGTTTGATGATCAATATAAACAGCTCCGTCAATATTTCATTCTCATCAACATACTGGGTAAATAAAAAAAAAAACTAGTAATTCGTTTGGGAAAGGATTCAGAATGTCAATCACACCAGATTTTTTTAAAATTATAATATTTAAATGCCCAAATACGAAAAGATAATCATTGGAATATTTTAACCATCATAAATAAATGGGTCTATCTGAGTCTAATAATAAAGCAAGAAGTCGTCCACGAATTGACGATCCGATGATGTCTGTAAATCGATTTCTTCACATTTCGTGCATCTTGACGCAGTAAAAGCATTCACTGAGACGATTGTGAGAACCACAACACAGGCAAGTGAAGAAAATGGCGTTTCGGATGTGCTCCCTTCCTGGGCAGACAGTTTCGCCTGTGGCAGTTTTGCTAAAATGATAGTTATCCAGTAAGTAAATCACGTTCTTCATATCAGTACTATTTTCTATCAAAAAGTATAATATCGCAAATCTAGACATCAGAAAGGTAATAAAATTAACATTTTGAGTATGAACATTACACCACCATGTCCAAAATTGCTCAATTTAAAAATATTCTTTAAAATCATGATGGACTGCCAAGATGCTCATAAATTCCTGGGTTTTTTATACGTACCCGCAAGTAAAGATCCAGTCACATCCATTGTTAGCTGTCATGGCGTATCTCCACTTGGCTGGGGCGGGCACCCCAGGAGCGATCTCTGCTGTATCGTTACAGACAGCGTTGTCCAGTTGTGGGATGAAGCCAGATCTTCTTTGGCGGTGAGGTGTAGGTTCGTCCACTGTGCAAAGTGAAAAGCATTGACGTACTTAAAACATGAACGCAAGCTATATATATATATATATATATATATATATATATATATATATATATATATATATATATATATGAAATTCAAACTACTGAATAAACATTCGTCCTCTGTGTTCACCCGTTTCCCAATTTGAAACCAATTTATGTTTTTAAAGAAAACTTAAACAGCAACAAATGCATTCAAACTTTGATGTCACCTGACACAATGCATATTTTCAGAGACAATATTCTCTACTTGACGTCATCATACTCATGACGGCATAAGTAACACACTAACAGTGATTTCAACAAGCATTTGCGCTGTTACAAAGGGAAATTAACGTTTTAGAAAGGACTTCTTTAAATGTTAGCCAACCACACAGGTTTTTAACTTGTTTCCTTACATGTGGTTTTGCAATAATAGCAAGTTATCATTTTTAGTAACACACATGACATGTCTTGCTGGGCGAGTCGTTGGTCAGAGAATCTTAAATGAACTAGAACAATAGCAGCTTGCTCAGCAAAATTCAGAATAATTTGATTAGGTTAATGAGTGAGTAGAGAACCAGTAATTAGTTGGTTGAACAACAAAAGGTGCAATGGATAAAAAGAGCTGTTTATTTGTGCTATAAATTTCGTAAAACCAAAAAATGCATAGTACATTAAAGATTTATTATCATTATTCCGTTCTGAATAACGAATGTTAACTGATATCTACTTATCAGTGATTCCGTTTAAAAACCATTTTTCTCCTGAATTTGATCGTGGAAAACGACAATTACGCGTATGCCAGCTGTAGACACTCTCTCAATGATAAGATTTAAGTCTTAATATAGGACAAATAAATAAACGCATATCCTGTCACAGTGTGTCCTTACACGCTGTCAGTTATCATGCTCTATTAATAGAGACATCACCAAATCATAAGGGTTTACGTCAGTCCTTTTGGCACTTAGAGTGATTATTTATCGGCCACAAGCTGAGCTATTTCGTAGAGGGTACGAGTGTCAAACATTCCAAAAGGCATACCTAAGCTCCATGACAAGGAAAAGTAATGGCTTTAACTGTTATCTAAAAAGTTAGTTATAATAAAGTGAAACCCCTCCCACATGCAATTAACTATTTACCTTCTATGAATTCAGCATCATCTGGGACTTTTTCTAAGCGGTAGAGTGGAAACCCAAATCCTTGGACCATTTCTTGCATCTCTTTGCTCAAGAAAGACATGTTCTCAATTGGACCCTCGGATATGAACCATTTCTGAGCAATGGTTTCCGTATCCTTATCACTCATAGCGCCGCGACTCTCAGCCTAAAACACGGCAAAGGGACATACACAAACAGAAAACGTGTAGTACGAACTGGGCACTGGAGAACTAAGTCTCTAGATAAATGTTTGACATATTTGATTTTTTTAAAATTTGTCTTTTCTTAGGATTGAGAGACAACTTACACTGATAACTTAAAATGCATTTCAAAAACCCTACCCAAAGTTTCACCATGCTGCTTTCTAACGCCACAGGGTCAGGGAACTGGGTGCGATTCAGGGGAATAAGATGGCAAACAGCCTTCCTAGGGAAGCAGAAAATTTCCAGACCCTAGAAATAATAAGCGATATACAATGTATTAAGTTATAATTACTGATGAAAAAGTTGTTTCCTGTTGCTAAAAGTTAGAGATTATACATGTTGCAATACATTTTAAGCATTAGGTTTATACACTTTATAAACTTGAGGTTTACATACTTGAGTATAATTTGTAGTAATTTCTTTTCGCAGACACATGTGATCGTGTGGTTGAGCTTTTTTTCATATACATCAAAATGTTTCCTACTTCCTCTAAATTACGAAAGTGCCAGCTAGCTTTTGGGCAGGAGAAGTTCGTAATGCGGACTCGTTTTAGTATAATTTATCTTTTTTATTAACCTCTCGCCACAAGGATAAATTTAGCTTTAGATCATGTCATCCATACGTTTTCGATACTTTTTCTGCACATTTTGGTAGGACCCGCTTTTATTGTTAGCCGGAATAGTTTTATAGGTCGTAGATGTTAATGTCGGCATGTTACCTTGTTGAAGTCTTGAAGAGTCAAGGTTTCTTGTACATCATTGTGCTGGGGAGTTTTGTACACCACCTGGTTTTTCTCCAAATCAGCCTCAATCTCTTGCACAAACTTTGCCGACTTCTCCGTCACGTGCACATCAAAATGCTGAAAATGTATTGTCAAACAGTAAAAAAATGACTTTAGACAATAGAAACCTATTCACTTGAACGGGAAAACAACTATGAAAATGATGTTTGTGTATATTAAATATTTCATATTTGTAAATAAAATCGTTGTGCAAGTTATTCCTTAATTTATATTTAGCTTGGAAAATTATATGCATGGATACGGTCACGTTCAGATTCTACGGGTGATTGCCACACCACATGTGTCAATCCGTTATTTTATTGAATATATATTCTTACCGCCGTCTGTGATCTTTTTGCCACAAATTTTGCGCTACACAAGGCAGCAAGACACACAATTATCAAGACCTTCATGGCTGAAAATGATAAACAATATTATAAAATGAGTCAGTACCTTTGGGAGCAAAAGTACCGTTCGTTTATTTCTTGCTTAATTTAACTCTTTAAAAAAATGTAATGCCTTACCTAAGTATCAGGCTGCACTTCTGAATGGCGCGTTACTGTAAGGTGCGTGCGTTTTCTCTTCTTTAAGTTGACTGCTCAAACAGGTTGCTTACGTCATGCTCTTTAGTGTTTACCGTAAGTCCCCCTCTTCAAACTTAGTCGAGGGGCGCAGGGACCGTTTTAGTTGCCCAGCTGCAGAGTCACCCCCCTGCATGGCGACCTCTTCATAACACACGTCGACTTAATGGTGTCTTATTTTGCTTATCTGCCCATGGCCTTCATTTATGAAAGGATGAACGCATGTGTAAATATAGGTGAGATAGCAGACATTGCATGTTGGAAAAACCATTTCATTTTATGTAGGATATAAACAGATCAATCATTCCGAAGGTTTGTATTTCATCTCATTAACTCATATTTTTATTAAAAATTAAAGGTAGTTTGTTTATTTTTGATATGTCAATCCTTAATGTATGAACGATGTTTGGATACAATCTTGACTGATAAGTGCGTTTAAAATTAAAAAAAGAAATTTATCGCCAAAATTCACATACTTCCAAGACATGCAACTAATTCAAAATAATTAAATATTTTCAGTGTCTGCCTTGGCTATATTTGTAAAACTAGAAGCAGTTAAGATACAGTCAAGTGTCTTTTGCCAGTCGTTAATCGACCACTGGTTTTATTGCACATTAAATCAACCATATCTCAAAAGTAAGTAAACCATATCTTGAAATCCTGACAACTAATGTTCAGTGCTTGTGACCATATAAGATAGTGTTTTATGAAAGTGTAATGAGAGATAATAGAACAAGCCACGTTTTAAAGAAGTGCTTATAGAAATAGATACAATATGTTCACCTTCGTTCAAAGATAAATTGCTAAAGAGAAGACACAGATTTACCTTGATGCCTTTGCTTCAAAAACTGCAAAAATATGAAAATCAGTTTCAAAGAACTTGCAAACAATAAACGAAAGCAAAACGTTTGGACTTGTTGAAACTTAACAGTCATTAGACGCACGGTAGTTTTTATCCAGCTATATCCGTCTTAAAAAGTGTAGAAATCCCGGAAGAAGAAAAATTATATTTCATAGCAAGGAGCCCTGTGTAACAACATGCTACATGCATAACGACGAAAAATATTTATGAATATCTTGTAAAATTCTTAGAACAACATATAATCTGAAAAAGGAAAACTACATGGAAATCATCAGTGAATCCTAAACTAGTCCACTTTTTCCATGTCCGTTTGCAACTTGGTAATCCGCTTTACATGAACATCATATGTATATGTTGCAGGCCAGATTGAAATCCAGGCTGGTGTAAAATCGACCATAGTCAAATTTTATTTTTAGATTTTAATTGGGCTTATTCAGGATCAAAATTCCAATTTGACTTAGGAAGATTTAAATCAGGTGACAAATGTAATCCTGACTATTTAATTGTTTATGACATATATATGTTTTTAACCTCATACCCAGACGATAGTCCTGCTTTTTTCCATTCACTTCTTATGATGTTGTCTTTCAGGTGCCCACTTCATTATAGTGGTCATGAGTACAAAAGATGGCATGTATCCTATATAATCTTGTTGTTACAGGAATAATTTGCGAAAACAAACATAGCATTTGAAAATAAAATTTGACTATGGTCGATTTTACACCAGCCTGGATTTCAATCTGGCCTGCAACATATACATGTATGAAGTGAGGTCACGCTAGAGGTGACCCTCACCACTGCTCCGGCAAACGAACAGTGTAACTCTGATAAATATTTCTGCTTTAATCTCAGTCTTACTGATTAAATTCATTTTTAATGTAAGTATAATCCAAAGGTTGTAATTTTTCATTTAATATTTCAAATGCTCTCATTTGCAGTTGACCGAGGCCTTTCCACGACGTTCGAGAATTTCACAGCAAAGTTGCTACCCGATGAGAAGACACGGCTTTAAGAATGAGCAAAACCAGCCGGCACTCTGCCATCGAGTGCACTTATATTTCTAGTTCTTATATTTCATTTTCTTTGCATCTTACTGCATTATTTTGCGATTTCAAACGCCTTTTGTGTGAAGTTTTCAAGCAATCCCTATAAAATGCCGATGTATCCATTACTATTATTGCATCCTTCTATATTTTATTATCATCTAATACATATTTAAAACCATACAAGAAAAAAACAACTCCGTTAAATGCATGTCCCTTTATTATTTCACTAATTTTGACGGAGCTGTAAAAAATTTAAGTGTACAAATGGTGATTACACATTTCTTCATAACCACTCAAATAATGGAGTATACCATTGTTTAATCTGTAGACATTATGTATAAAAGCGTCCGTGGTTAATAAAGTGGTAGTTCCAGTTATTAAAAAATTTGTTGCAAATGTTCTTGTCACCACCCATATAGCAACTGTTGAAGTTATTCGCTAATAAAACAGTATCCTGATAATGTTTTATTCTAATAAATCCATCCTTGAAGTCCGCAACTGGACAATGGCAAAGGTCTTACAGCCATTATCTTCCAAAATTAGCGCCATCCACTGTAATAAAATACAATATCTCAACTATTCAGTGGTTAAAAGAAAATGATCTAAGATTCTTACTATATTTTCTTGCCATGATAACTCAACTGCGTGAAAATGCTACACATTCAGAAACACTACAACTAAAACTCAGTTACTGTACTATCAATTCTAATATCTTTACTGTTAATTCCATCTTTCCTACTCACTGCATTTAACGAAGAGAGCCGAGGTACAGCCGTTTATCTTCTGTAGGGTGCACTCGCTAAGAATAGTTTCCTGCCCCTTGCAATTGGCTCTCACCCAGTTCTGGAAACCGTACCAAGGGGCACTTTGGGCAATGAGATAGAGTTTTCCATAACCCAGCTCTGCACAAGCAAGGGAAGCATGGGATTTCCCCGTGTAACAGAGAGCGGCCCAGTCTCCTTGGTAGGCGACTTGGATAGCTCCACCGGATCGGTCCGGGTTCGGTTCCTGGGGCCGCCCGGGGATGGCAGTTCGGATGGTGCCTGTTAGAAAAGCAATGCTTTGAATCAGCGAAGCTAGGTATATATGCCAAATTCAGAAAAAAGATAGTAGGCCTATAGCATAAATTTGCCAGTGCGTCATTGACAGAGAAAACTACATTATCAGTTACGAATAAACTGGTCAGTTGTAATAAATGATCTCCGTGGCTTTGTTTTTGTTGAAAAGGTTGCTTACCTCCTATTTGTGGCTTGGCCAGCGCTTGTTCCTGAAGGGAAATAACGATTATCTTATTGAGCAACTGCTTCAATTAAGTCATGACAACCTCAATACGCGTTTTTCCAAATGTTTCAAAATTAAGCGATCAGAATTATGAGTTTGCACAAATAGGTTTAACCCATTAAAATAAGATGATTAATACAACGCTTACAATTTGTTGTTTCAGCTTTTGGAACTCTCTGTTGTATTTTCCTGGGATATCCAATCCATTAGCAGCGTAGGCGTTAAAAGCTGGGGTGAACTGCTGGTAGCTGCCATCTTGACTTACGTCCAGTTGGTCAATGACGTTATAGAAAGTATGGCGGACATCGCGCAAAGCCTTGCTGAAGTCGTGGATCTGAAATAAACATTAAAATCGAATGGAAATTCAAAGGTTACCTACGTTAATTCCCACTAGTTAATTACTTCAGGAATGGTGTGTCCATAGAATGCAGACTTGATGTATGTACCTTGTATGGGACGCATGTGATTGTTAGAGGGCGATGTTTTGTCATATATGCACTCCCCAAATACGCCGCTAGGCTTACCAGTTGTGTTTGCGCACTGTTCAGAGATGGCAGTTTTGTTGCCCACTCATTAAAGGAAGAAGTAGTGGTTCGAACATCATCAAACTTGCTCTCCAGTTCATCAATGTAGCTTTCAAATGATCTACAGGAAAAAAGACAGGAACTTAAACTACATGTTTACAAAGCAAACATTTTTCATAGCTTGGTTATAAATAAAATACTGTAGTATTTTCTATTAGATTTGGATTGACTGACTTCATGAATTTTCAACACAATATACGTAAAAGCTTTAAATATCCTTGGTCTTGGATTCTGAAAATGAGTAGTGTATAGTTTAATGAATGCTAAGTCTTAATTTTGGATTATCCTATAAACAAAAGATAAGGAAGATCTGTGTTTTACGAAATATTCGAAGCACTCACGCTTGTCTGAAAACGTTCTTGTAATTGGAATCCAATGAACTCAAAGGAACCAGTTCCATACGAATGGGCACACCTCGGCCATTATCCACCAATTTCACGTGTTTTTCAAAATCATTGATCAGGCTCATAAGCCCGTTAATATCCGTGGCTACTCCAGGAACTTGGACGTTGGCAAAGTATTGGATTTCCAAACTCGATCTACCTACGGTGGCATATATCATTAGGTTTAATTACAAATGGCAAACAGAAAGGAAACGCGTATGGTCTTGGAATTGAAATTTTTAAGGCACCTATGCAAAAACTGTCCATTTACTTTTAGAGAGACATGTCACGGAAATTATTCAAAATACTAAGTAAAATTAAAATGGTCATAAAGATGCCAAACTTCCATTGTATCTATGATCATTATTTTAAGTTTTCGATAAGCCAATTCATTATACGTAGATTACGTGCAAAACTACAGTTAAGTTCTTTTAACACATAGCATATAACATTATCAGTCAACTGAACTCTGAACGTCCCCAAGGGTGGGGTGAAAATAACTGTATACCCTTCAGATCGTTTTCTAGTTTCTCAAATTTGCCCTTCACGTTCACGTCTAACGCTCCGCCAGCCCGTAGACCTGCACTAAGCGCGGCTTTGATGTGCTCCCTGAAATATGATGGCCATTTTGGGAAAAAATGGAATATGTACTTATTGTTAGTAGTTTAAATACAGGAAAATCGCACTTCAGCGGCTATAGGTTCACTAAACAAAACGTATATTTCAACTATATTTTTCGATACTTTTAAAATTGGCTTTTGAAGGCGTAAACAGTTGCATATATGTGTGCAAAAATACAATATTATTTTAAAATAAAATCAATTAGAATTTGAAGATATCTTTCCGTAAGGAATACAAGTGCTACTTTACCTGTCTGCACTGTTTTCTGCTGTGAACCGCAGAGAAGCAATCAGGTCTCCACCATAAGTGACACTACGTGCATAATGGGTGCCAAGAACGTCCTGATGGTTCATCTTCCAGTCTGAATTTGGTGTCGTGCTCAAAAGGGTGTGGGTTTCCTAATAAAAGAGGGATGTACGTAACAATTAGGTGACCATACTGTGTATGTATGCCCACTATATAACTCACGCACGCAGGCAAGCAAGAAATCAAACACAAACGCGCCCGAACGTCGCATTTTTATACGTACAGTACTAACCATCTTCACTTATCTATTTTCATCGTCATAACACTATCAGTCACCTTTATTTTTAACCGAATAAAATCACTATTGCCAAATTATAATTGGAACTGTTACCTACCGTTTCATAATGAACTTTAGCCAAAATCTCAACATATTTGGTTCTCGAAGTAGTGTCTCGAAGGTAGCTTCCCATTCCGTCGACGTTGATCAGTCCGGTTTTCAGTTTAACAGATAGTTCCCCTTCAACTTGCAAGAAATCTCGAGCCTCCTTGGAAGAATCAACCAGTTTGTAACGTGCATCTGTTATTCTTCGGTTAATAATCTGAAACACAAAGGTCATGCATGTATTAATAAATGCCAGTCAGTTAACATACCTTTACACTTACGAAAATTAATTAGGACAGAAGATAAATAAAGACCTACATTACGTATTCGTTAAAATGAGGAGTAACTACATATTTCAAAAGAGTTGATGAAAAATGATGTGCAAGCCTATCAGTGCAATTTACTCAATCAAGAAAACATAAAAAGTTACTTAATTATAATCTTTATTTTACAGAAATGTCCAATAGTTGTGGCATTTTTCGCACCTTCATCCCATTAGGTCCGCCAGCCTGCAGAGCCGTATGTGGGAAGATGTCTATTCCTGGTTTGTCCGTTCTTATGTCAAACGTCCTCCCCAATAGCATGGGGATGACGTAGGGCATTATCATACTCATCTTGCTGGAGGAACAGTGGTCTCTAGAAACAAAACAAAACAAAACAAAACAAAACAAAACAATAATAATAATAATAATAAAATAATAATATACTGAGAATATTTTAGTAGCAATTATTTGAAATAAAAATGTCTTACTTAATCCAGACCTCGACCGCCCTGCAAATGGCATAATGCTGTTCTTTTTGTTTTACACCAGCTGTAATATATTTTTTCTACAACAATTTTGAATTTGGTTCAAATAATAATTCTATGTTCAAAATGCTTTACAGCAACAATGACCGACTTATGAATATTTCGTAAGAATCGCTTGTTTATATTTTATTTTACATTTCTTACTTCAATTACATAATACGCATATAAGACAGAAGCAACTTTCTTTTTTTTTTTACTTGAAACAGTGCACTGCGTAAGGCATTTTTCTGCAGATGGCCTAACTATATGTACTTAATAGAAAATATGCATGAATTATAACATGACCGTTCAGATTCTTTTTTTTTTAAATAAAGAAGACAGTTTTAGTATTATAAAATGAATCCACGTTGTTTTACGCTATCACCAGTTCTATACGTATAAATGTGCTCCCCATCTTACCTTACACTGGTCCTCTGCCTCACTGCTTACCAAACCAAACATTCAACTTCATATAATATACAAACATTACTTAAGTCAATCCCTGATAAGTTTATGTCAACTTCGTGACTATCTGTGGTCCCATAGTTACGCCTTAAGTTCTGACACGCTTATTAGATAAGTAGCATCCGAGAATAAAATTACATCTGAGACAACCGGAATGCATTCGCTACCAAGATATTCCAGCATTTTCCTAAATTCAATTAAAAAAGAACCATATTTAGTCAGATGTCATCTTCGTGTTTTCTTTTGGAAGCCCTACGTATACACAAAAAACTTGTTTAAGTGTTTTTATTTCTTCTGTGTAATAACTTTGTATCACACTGACAAAGAGGTTGTTTGAACCCAAAATGTTTGCGAGCTCTACGCTGCAACACTAATACAGTACTTTGACGACTTATCTCTGATTGCGAGCAACTATGATTTCTTGGCAACAAATGGTAGTGACCGCGACGACGTTATATATTAAGAATGGCATACAGACTAAACCACCACTTAAAGGTATTGAGGCGATTCTGTTTCCATTCCTAGACTAATTAGTGACTAATAGAATAAATTTAAAATTCAGCGTTTGAGACGAACGATATTTTGTGGCGAGACCAAAGCGGCTTCATAGGATACCCGCGCGGAAGCTGGCTCTTTCATACAGAACAACAAGACATACATGTAAGGGAAAATAGGAACCACATTGCTCAAGTATAATAACAAGACAGAAAAGGTGTAAAACGAACTTCTTAACTTAAAGAAAAAATCCAATCAGACTGGTTTTCGAACTCGAATGGCATTTCAGGCCGATGAATAATTCACACAAGTTTAGTGACGGTAACACTGTTTTCTTTTTTTTTTAAATTGTCTTTGAGGATAAATATTCCAGGAAAGTGCATTGTGACGACAAACATAATGGAAATGGAAAAAATAAATTGCAAGGTCGAACGGGCTTTGGTGGAGGGGTGAAAGCGGTGCGGGGACGTAGAAGGGTGCAGCCGATAATTCATCTTCCCACCGGTATAGACCTGTAAGGCTGTGAAGTCAGGTACACGTTTTGAAATACCAAACGTTCTTCTTGCCTTCACCATTAACAAAACAAAAGAAGTAGGTCTACCCCAACAGACCGCACTTCGCCGTTATACAGCGGAATGCATTAGACCGTCGAAGGATTAGGTGCACCCATTGTGTTAGAGGAGAAATACCGAAGGATTGGTGTCTTCCTCTGGGGAACACACTTCCGATAGATGCGCCAAAAATCCAAATATTACAGAACTTATAAACCCACAAATCTGCGATAAAGTGACGAATTTACCAAACCATTTTTTTTGCATTTTTACAATAAAACTTGGATCCCTATTTGAAAAATATGCTTACTAAAGAGGAGAGCTCAACTGGTGCGACAAGAATCGTTTTTGAAAAAGTAAAATAAATTCAAACTTGGCCCATCCTACAGCATGGCAAGACAACCAGGGACCTTATATCTCCGGCCTAGGACATTTATTCGCAGACAACGAGCGGTGGCCTTTGAAGGCTATCTACGATGGGCGGTTGTCACGGTCTCTGTCCACGACGGGGAGACACCGTTACACCGTGCCCGACATCTATGGAGATGATTTCCTGGTTATACTTAACGCTAAACGCCTGACGCCTCTTCCTCTGTCCAGTTTAGTATCGTCGTTTTTTTTAACCGACACTTGTTACTAGTTATTATTTGCCAGGTCCGTTTTTGAAAAACGAAACTGGAAACTAGACACTAACTTCAGCGCCCCAGGTTGCGTTGCAGTCCATTGCAGTGGCACCCAGTCAACTCAGTAAGTCGAGCTGAATTAATTCAGAGAAGGAAAAAACACAAGTAAACCTATTACCCGAAAAGATATGAAAAGGACGATAAAGTCCTGTTGGAGTTGATATTTCCTTTAATTCTGGATCAATATATTTTTGTTTTTTAACTGAATTTGAATTAATTTCAACTTTCATTTGTGCTTCTGTATATTTTGAGAAAGTAGCAATTGGATGTTTAATAAGCAAAGGACCCTAGATCGCAAGTCGGCCAGGCAAACTTTTTTATTCTCTTTCCTGTTTTGCTATGAATGGAATAGCCAAACCTATGGCCCCTCTCAAATGGAATGGACTCTCCCAACCTGTCACCCCTAAAGATCTTGGGAGAAATTACGACACAAGATCTAAACCAATTTAATTTTTCATGTATGATGTTCCACTGAACAAGATGCTTTTAATATCTTAGAAAATGTTATATACACTTGCTATAATCCTTAGACCCATTCTATTAGATTTTATAATTCCAACTTCTTTGCTGTAAATCATATTAATGATGAATGTTGAAAACCAAAGTTTAATTTAAATCCAGATTTAATCTAATAATACTGGTGCTATATTTGAATGAACATAGTAACAAGGCATTAAATCTGGACTGGCATATAAATTACGAAGCAGGGACAGTTGAAATATGACTAAGAACCATTTTAACAATGAAAAAGCATAAAATGCTTTTTGTCATTTCTGATGCAATATTGCATGATTCTTAACAGCTAAATCAGCACCAATTAAAATCATAAAACTAAAATCACTGGATCTGTTCTTTTTTTCTCCATTGAACTACTGTGAGTAATCCAAAGCTGTTAAAAGCAGTTTATTGAGATTGTGGTGTAAATTTATTTTTGCCTCAGCTTATGATTTAAATCGTAATTTATTTTTGGTATGCATAGCATACTTAATTGAGTACTTCTATAAAGAAAACTGGAGAGCAAAAACAAACAAAAATAAATAGATAAAATAATAGTAATAAAAAATAATGGTTTCATAACCAAAAATTTATTTTTCAAGAAATTCAAACATTTTCACATATGTCATGGATCAGATTTCTGTGTATCTTGCCCTTTTACTAAAAGGGTAAGATGAACACATGCAAGAAATGAACATCTGCACCCGCCATGTTCCCTTTTGAAGATTCATTTTTAACCAATATGTCCTGTAGAAAGGAGCACAAATCCCCCGGTTAATTTTAAATGTCAAGTTCACTTCCTCAGCTACAAATCTTAGTCTCTTAAACTGAGTAAAAAAGAACGAAAATAAAGGAAGAAAGAAGTACGTCTTTCAGCCCCAATCTGTGACCAGTGGCAAATGATCTAATCCCAGATAACTACTGCATGGCCAGAGTATATGATTTTGCATTGATTTGTAGTGATTTCTCTATGAACAGAATGTGTTCTAGCCATGGGTTCCAGAGGCACAGATGGCGCCACCTCATGATGGGCACCACATGTTTCCATGGGTATCAGGGAGATCTTTATAGGGAATGTCCCACAACCATGGTCGATCTGTAAAACAATGAAGAATGGATTATTTTGATGGAAATTCATCTGGGTAGACTGCTGGTCATGTTATAAGATTATTCCAGAGTGTCTGAAAGCATAGCTATTCTTATGTTTAGAAAATGAAAAAAATTAATCCTATAAATTGATTATTATTTGTTATACAATGAGTGTTAAATATTTTAATTATAATTAATCTAACTTCCAGATGAAAAAAAAATTAACTTTTCCTCTATCTGTGCACGTGTTATTCTTCAACTTTCATTCAAAAATTTAAAACCAATTAAATGGTTAATGACTGAAAAAAAAAAGCACAAGAGGCCAAATACATTGTAGAAATTGTCTTTTTCAGCACTCACCTTGTTTAGTGTAAGGTGTGGGGGGAAGATCATATGGAACAGGGAATTCTCCACTATTTTGACATTCTTTGTCTTGAACTTCAAAGAATTTTTCAGCACCCTGCAAACCAAATTTTTAAAATATTATTTTATATTTACATTTAAAACAATGTTGTCTAATTGTCTTATTTGAATAATCACTGAAATGTGAATTTTCATTTAACAGCCTAACCTACTTCCAGGCTTTGTTTCAAATTATCATTACGTCTCTTACTCCTCTGCCTTATACATGTACCTGAATATCTGAGATTAATCCTTGTATTTTTAACTGTGGACATAGTAAAATGGCAATTAAAAAAAAAGGAAACAATTAAATCGTTAACAATGCTATCAGACATTAAATTAAACAAAGTGAACTTGGGAGACTGTTTCAAATACAAAAATACATTCATTATTTCTTTCCACTACTTACAAACATTTGTGGTAGAAAAAGCACTCCTATTTCATATGATCGGATCATCAACTGAGACTGTTTCTTCTCTAAGGCTCCCCAAGCAGCTTTTGATAAATTGGAACTACAAATAATTCATTTTGGTTATATAAACTGCAGGGGCGGATCCAATGATATTTTCTGACAGGGGCGGATCCAGAGATATTTTCTGACAGGCTTCCAAATTATCCTTATTGATCCACCCTCAATTTTTGACCGTCTTCCAACAAAAAAATTAGATACCCGTCAATGTAAACTTAAAAATCTGACGTCTTCCAGAAGACCCAGAAGACGGCCTAAATCCGCCCCTGAACTGTATAACAAAACTACATTACATCTATTACAGAACAAGCATTATGATAGTGTACTTCTGATGATTTTCTTAAATCTTGACATTCAGTATATTTTATCTGCATGTTTCATTTAAATCTCTGATAAACTTGCAAGCTGTTTTTCATTATTTATAACAAATATCTAAGTTACATAAAAAATGGTAAAAAATTAATTTGCTGATGAGTGCCCTACAAATGCATTTGCATTGTGTTTCACAGATCACTGTAAACTAACCTCTCTACTATCAGCATGCTTCTGACATTTTCAGCCACATCATTTCCAGCAATGGCAGAGTCCATGCTGACGGCAGAGAAGTGTGTTCTCAGCAACTTATGAAACTCAGAGTGCCTGTTTAGACAGATCTGTTCAAAAATGAACGAGCAAGTCAAATTTAAAGTTAAAAATATCAAAAAGTAATATCTATACTACAGTGATTCCAGTCCTGTACAAAACTGTGAGACAATCTACAATGAATACCTTGTTACAGCAAACCATGCAATTTTCTTAGAGTCAGGAGACATTCTAAGGTAGGTCTTAATGTGGGGCATTGCACGACTCCTGCCCTGTACTTCGGCCCTCCACTGGCTACAACAGGATATTTTACCATTATATTATCAATTGTTTAATGAACTGTCTTCAGATTTTTCTTTGTATGTATTATTTGAAAATTTACTTTCAAAAACTTCCAATTTCATTGAATTAATTTGCATAAATTACATTATTATGCTTTAAGAGTTTAAGTACTTCTTGCAGTACAAATTTTGACAAATTTGCATATATTAGCAAAACTTAAGTGTGGGAAATATGATAAAAGAATGTTTCCTGTGGGAATTGGTGGATATGTAGCCTCTCTTAAATACATGCACACAGTAAAATTCCCTTGCCAAGTCTTAGGATTATAACTGGTGAATGTATTCCCTTCAGGTTATAATTCCACTAATTCCCTAAAGATGCAATATTTATTACAGCTAGTGCTTTTCCACAGCAAAATTCCTTCAATCAATATATTTATTTCATTACTCTACTTGTGTAACTTTGGTCATAGTCTTTGTAAAAAATGTGCTAGAATTAACGAAGATTTTTATTATTATTATTATTATTATTATTATTATTATTATTAGTCAAATATACAAAAAAGATGTGAAAAGATGTGAAAGTTACATCCAAGACAATTGGACAACTGGCTGTCACATCTTTTAAGGGTTGATATGACAGAACCCGTGTTAACATTCAAAGGCAAATCAAAACCTACTGAAAATATTCATGGAGAAATTGCTGTTTTTTAGCTGTATGGATGCTGTAAGGCACTGAGGCACCTGCTGGGTAACCTTCTAGACTGAGGCGAATGTTGTCTTTAGTAGGGAATATCTGAAAGTGTACAAAGTAGTCCACTGATTCTCTGATAAATAGACCATTTATACATGTACTAAGTTCACTAATATACAATCTAAAAAATAGAAATGATGCCCTTGGGTCTCAGTGTAAACCCATCTTTCAATATATTCAAGTCAACACATTAAATAAAAAAAATACAAACCAATAAAAGGTGTGGTAAGCTTCAGCTACTTAATAATGGCACCACATATCTATTTTCAAATAAACTTTATCATTTTGATTCCTGCATAAAAATACCTAAAGCAGGTAATTGGCAAAAACACTCACGAGTTTCAAAGGTGCATCAGCAGTTCTAAGGCCGCCCAATCCCTTGGCTGTAGACAGACTTTCCCGCCATTCGGCACAAAGCCAATTGTCCTTGTTAGGCCCCATAGAGCCAATGCTAGAGAACTGTCCCACCACGGGCCACCCTTTTACCTCACTTACACTGGGGCCATGCTCCTGTAATATCTGAAAATAAAATATCTTTGTAAAATTAAACTTCAACATAAGCCCATGACAGCCATCATATTTTTATGGTTGAATTTATTCTGTTTTTGCTTATTTGGAAAGTGCACACGCCTCTAGCTGGCTTGAAAAAGCATAATTGTTTCTTATTGTTTCTTCTAAGGTTAATTTACATTAATCAAAATATTTTAAAGATTTCCTTCGCCATCCAACCTTCCTGACAAACTGAACCATCAATTTTGCACATTTCTGGAAGTCTGGTTGTCATAAAAAATATCTGTCATCTAAAGAGGAAACTGGCCATGAAAATGATGGCTGGACAGCTCTGTGAGGAAAGCCTTGCTACTATTTATTATTCTGTTGCCTCGACTTGCCTTTCTCAACTTCAAATGTCCAAATGCAGTTTTCTTTTCACCCAAGTGTCTTCCAGGTACAGATCCAAGAATGAACACTCTGTTTTTATGGCAAAACAATGAAACAAAGTTATCATCAACAATTTCTACAATTTTGTTCAGAAATATCAACTAAACAGTGAATCATTTCTTATAATTTCATTTTACCTAAAAACCAATAAGCATGTTAACACTATCCAATTTAAAGTAATTTTAATAAAATTGCTTAAAAATTTCACTGTGGATTATACTTAAAATTATATAAAAAATTTTGGTCACATTTAAAACAAATCTATTTCATTTTCTGTTCTCTTTTATCACACAATTAAACTAATCCATGAATTCAACATGTTCTTAAAACATTTTCAAGAAACTTACTTTGCTGATGACATATTATGTTGCTTAATATGTTCTTGCCACTCTTTCAATCCATTCAACTTATATGCTGATAGGTATTCCAGCAGATCTTTCTTGAAATGAGTGTCAGAATCTCCAGCACTGGCCTCACCTTTATCTAGTTTGGGAAACAGTGGGCTGATCCATACACTAAAATAATACAGTAAGATCCAGTACTTGTATCACAATAGATTGCAGTTATATCTTTAATACAGTGTCACAAAGCAAATTACCCAAGCCATTTGAGAAAAGTCATTTATAATTTATCATCTACTAGTAAAAATAATAATAAATTATAATAAAAAATGTGCCATACCCTTGAGTTTTCTGATACCAGTCCTGATGTATATTATTGGCTGTGGTGATTACTACCCTCATGCCGTTATCATACAGCAAAAGCATCATTTTGCTATAAATCAAACAATGCAATAATGTCATCAACAGCAATATTCATTTGATATCTATTCCATTTATGTACATATACAATAGGTTCTAAAGTATTATGCAGATTGTACCAAAATCTATGTCATTTTACTGTTCATTCAATCAATCTTAACAAAAGGTCTAGAAACTTGAACAAACACAGCCTGGGCCAAGTTAAAACTATAATATTAATTTATAATATGTAGGTTTTTGATTCCAGGGATACTTACGTATGATGTGTTCCATACATGATCTCCATTTTTGCCTTGGAAAAAATTAGTAACAGGTATTTTATACAATTTATGACTTATAGTCTAACAATCAACCTATCTTTCAATCAATATATTAAATAATTAAGACACACTGAGAGCTTCTTGATGATGTATCTAGCCCACGTAATGGAGATCCAAGATGGCAAAGTAAGCTGACTAATAGGTTCACTCACCAATTTAAAAATAATTGACTTCACGTGACTGTCTCTCAACCAAAGGGTTAGTGTCAAAATTTGTGATCATGTAACAATGGGCATTTAACTCACCTGGCAAAGTTTCACATTAGAATAGTTCATAGCAGCCATGTCATACTCAGCCTTGGTCTCTCTCTGCATCCCATGGACAATTAACAGAGGCTTAGACCTGACAAAAGCAATAATAAAATGGCCTCATGAAAACACAGTATTATTAAATACAGCCAATGAAAAGAAAATAACAAAAAAAAAAAAATTTATCTCTTGCAAAATATGTTTATGATTTTCTGACTCAAATCTGTATGTGTGACAATATCAATTAAAATTATGGTAGAGTCTAAAAATGAAAAGTTAAAGTTATAAGTTACCCAGCTGGAACAAGGTTTCATTATCCACATTATTATATATGAAGATTACAAAAATTAAACAGTGAATGAACTGCATGTTTTCAACTAACCTAAACTCTACAGGATACTGCTGTATTAACCATGGGATGTCAAACATATAATTGAACTGAAAATAAATAATAAATAATACTTTAAATTCAGTTGTTTATTGATGACTTGTACAATATAAAGGCAAAAAAGTCATACCTCCATAAATATTAATGACATAAATATGAAAATACATGTGCATAAATCATTTCATGAATTGATAAACTTGTTAAATACAAAAATATTATTATCCTAACTTCACACGTACCTGTGCTGAAGCTTGTAAATTTCCCATTGATGTGGACAAAATATCTGTAAAAAAGCAAAAGGTTGTTTATTGCAGTCATAACTTATATAGAAATACAGCATACAATTGTGAGCTGCCCCTTCAAGTTTAAATGCTGATAAAATATATGAGCGGAGCTCACAGTTTTCAAATCACTCCCTTTGACACATTTTGTCCCCATTTAAATATTTATTTTGGCTTAATAAACACCAATTCAGGGTCTTTCAAAAAACTAAAAGCAATCAAAATTTTATTCACTCAATAAAATGTTACAATTCATAATATTCAGGTTAATCCATACCTTTAATGTGAACAGCATGCAAGTTGTGTGCATTATCAATTCCTGCTACCTTGCTCAAATAGAAGCCAAATCTGTCATTCATTTTTAAGCAATGATCAGAGCCTTTCTGGTCAAGCTTTTGTTTCTTGCTTGGTGGGGCTTCCTCATTGGAACTTGTGCCAGGAATGGAAGAGTGACCATGTTCACCTTCTACAGCAAATATTAAAGATAAAGTAAATTGTAAAGATGTACTTATACCTAAATAATAAAAACCCTACTAATAATAATTATTATCTGCAGTATATTGTATCAATAGAACAATCAGTTTGACTACAGGTCAGTTGAGATAATAACTCCCTATCATCAAAAGTGCTGTGCATTCTTAATTTCACAAAACATTCAGTAATTAACTACATTATTATGCTTGCACTACCAATCATTTTTGCTAAACTGAATGATAAAATTTTCACCAATCAATGATAAGTTGGCAAAAGAATAATTATCAAAATGAAACAATAAATCAAATAAAAATCATCATAAACATTGAATCTCTGTACATTAAAAATAAAATAAATTACTTAATTCATCAGACAATGAAAATTTTCTTGGGGACTTTGTAAAATAAATATTGAAACTTTTATTATCAGTTAAGAATATCTCACAAGTCTAGATAAAGATGAACATAAAAAAAAAGATGTGATGTACTGTAAATAGGAATGAATGACTTTCATTTGTAGTAACACATTGTCTACCTGGATGCCAGAATGCTTTAAGGTGCTTGGGATTTTTTCTATAACATGTCTTTCCAAATTTGCACTTTGGTCTTTTGTCTTTGCTGTCCTGTTTGTAATCATCAGATTCTTCCATAGCTGGTTTTGATCTAGATGGACTTTTCTTTAGAGATTTTCCCTGACAGGTGTCCTCATCAGAGTTGTCACTTTCTGATATTTCATGAAGGGAAGAAGATAATGAGTCATTATGAACAGTCTTGGAAGACTTTGGCTCAAAATTGTCTGTGTCAGAGTCACTATCTGATATCTCATGAGAATAACTCGAGGAAACCCTTGTTTCTAGTTTCTTGTATTTATCCATTGCTGTACTTTCCAAACTGACTGGTTGATTTTCAAAGAGACTGTTATTTGTTGAAGAACTGTTATGAATTTCTGGTTCTTGAAGTATGCTGGTATCAGAATGTGTTTCATAAACTGCTCCGTCTTCACTTATGCCTCTTACATTCTGTGTGGGAGATTTTAATGGATGATTGCATGTGAAATCTTCATCTACATCTGAATTATTCTGGATCTGTTCAGCAACTGTTAGTGCAAAAAGATGATCTTCTTGCAGCTGCCTTTCAACATCTTCATCTCTGTTAAGCTGTAATTAGTTTTGCACACTGTACATGTAGTAAATAGAAAGTGTTTAATTTCGCAGATATGCTAAGTTTCTAGGTATACCAGATTATGTGGGACCAGTACACTCTACAGACCTGGGTTCTACGTTTACACGTACTGCACATGTGTACTGCTACTCTAAGTTTTAACGTTATTTAAGTTTGCAAATAAAAATTAAGAAACACGGTGCATCACACGCAAATCACAAGATGGTATATGAGGTATGTTTCACCTCGATTTGCAATCGTTTGGCATAATCTTCATCGCTTTCCCCGGGTAAGGCCATAAACAATCTGATACAGCAACTAACAGCACATGTACACTGTGGCTTGTCTTGTATACAGGGTATTAACTAGCAATCGATATAAAAGGGGAGTAACTTCCTGAAACTGATTCCAAATGGTAACTATGGTTAGATTTAGTGGTGTTTTTTTAGCATTTAAAAACGCTGTTGGCTTAACTTAAATATTTTAAAGAATTTTGTATAAAACTAAATTACAAGTTGAGGTTGACATGCCTGTATTTTCAATGGTGTCACACATGAATAATTTCCCCTCTCAAATTGGTAGTGCTTTTTTTTTTTGCTATCCACATTCCATACACCTTAAAACCATTAAAGCCCTTTAACAACTTTTTCTGGAGCTTAGGTGATGTTGAAACTTCCATCAGAGGTTTAAGATATGGTCGCTAGTATGACTGGCCAGTCATTTTAAAACTAAATTAACTATAAATATAAGTAAAAGTCGAATCCAAATGCAGAGAGGGATAGATAAATGATTCATGAGTACATGAGAATTGCTTATTTCCCCAGGAAAATCCATTTTGGTAGGTATATCCCATGGATTTCCCTTTAATTTAACATACAATGAACATATTGGTGTTTAGTTACTTTTTTATGCCCCCCCCNCTGGTGGTACAATAATACTTTAAATTCAGTTGTTTATTGATGACTTGTACAATATAAAGGCAAAAAAGTCATACCTCCATAAATATTAATGACATAAATATGAAAATACATGTGCATAAATCATTTCATGAATTGATAAACTTGTTAAATACAAAAATATTATTATCCTTACTTCACACGTACCTGTGCTGAAGCTTGTAAATTTCCCATTGATGTGGACAAAATATCTGTAAAAAAGCAAAAGGTTGTTTATTGCAGTCATAACTTATATAGAAATACAGCATACAATTGTGAGCTGCCCCTTCAAGTTTAAATGCTGATAAAATATATGAGCGGAGCTCACAGTTTTCAAATCACTCCCTTTGACACATTTTGTCCCCATTTAAATATTTATTTTGGCTTAATAAACACCAATTCAGGGTCTTTCAAAACACTAAAAGCAATCAAAATTTTATTCGCTCAATGAAATGTTACAATTCATAATATTCAGGTTAATTCATACCTTTTATGTGAACAGCATGCAAGTTGTGTGCATTATCAATTCCTGCTACCTTGGTCAAATAGAAGCCAAATCTGTCATTCATTTTTAAGCAATGATCAGAGCCTTTCTGGTCAAGCTTTTGCTTCTTGCTTGGTGGGGCTTCCTCATTGGAACTTGTGCCAGGAATGGAAGAGTGACCATGTTCTCCTTCTGCAGCAAATATTAAAGATGACATAAAATGTAAAGATGTACTTATACTTCAAAAAGAAAAACCGTACTAATAATAATTATTATCTGCAGTATATTTTATCAATAAAACTTAGTTTGACTGTAGGTTAGTAAAAATAATAACCCCCTGTAATCACAAGAGCTATGCATTCTTAATTCCACAAAACATTCAGTAATTAACTACATTATTATGCTTGCACTACCAATCATTTTTGCTAAACTGAATGATAAAATTTTCACCAATCAATTATAAGTTGGCAAAAGAATAATTATCAAAATGAAACAATAAATCAAATAAAAATCATCATAAACATTGAATCTCTGTACATTAAAAATAAAATAAATTACTTAATTCACCAGACAATGAAAATTTTCTTGGGGACTTTGTAAAATAAATATTAAAACTTTTATTATCAGTTAAGAATATCTCACAAGTCTAGATAAAGATGAGCATAAAAAAGAAAAGATGTGATATACTGTAAATAGGAATGAATGACTTTCATTTGTAGTAACACATTGTCTACCTGGATGCCAGAATGCTTTAAGGTGTTTGGGATTTTTTCTATAACATGTCTTTCCAAATTTGCACTTTGGTCTTTTGTCTTTGCTGTCCTGTTTGTAATCATCAGATTCTTCCATAGCTGGTTTTGATCTAGAAGGACTTTTCTTTAGAGAACTGCCCTGACAGGTGTCCTCATCAGAGTTGTCACTTTCTGATATTTCATGAAGGGAAGAAGATAATGAGTCATTATGAACAGTCTTGGAAGACTTTGGCTCAAAATTGTCTGTGTCAGAGTCACTATCTGATATCTCATGAGAATAACTCGAGGAAACACTTGTTTCTAGTTTCTTGTATTTATCCATTGCTGTCCTTTCCAAACTGACTGATTGATTTTCAAAGCGACTGTTATTTGTTGAAGAACTGTTATGAATTTCTGGCACTTGTAGTATGCTGGTATCAGAATGTGTTTCATAAACTGCTCCGTCTTCACGTATGCCTCTTACATTCTGTGTGGGAGATTTTAATGGATGATTGCATGTGAAATCTTCATCTACATCTGAATTATTCTGGATCTGTTCAGCAACTGTTAGTGCAAAAAGATGATCTTCTTGCAGCTGCCTTTCAACATCTTCATCTCTGTTAAGCTGTAATTAGTTTTGCACACTGTACATGTAGTAAATAGAAAGTGTTTAATTTCGCAGATATACTAAGTTTCTAGGTATACCAGATTATGTGGGACCAGTACAGTCTACAGACCTGGGTTTAAGCGTGAGGGTTCTACGTTTACACTGCACATGAGTACTGCTACTCTTTTAACGTTATTTAAGTTTGCAAATAAAAATTAAGAAACACGGTGCATCACACGCAAATCACAAGATGGTATATGAGGTATGTTTCACCTCGATTTGCAATCGTTTTGCAAAATCTTCATCGCTTTCCCCGGGTAAGGCCATAAACAATCTGATACAGCAACTAACAGCACATGTACACTGTGGCTTGTCTTGTATACAGGGTATTAACTAGCAATCGATATAAAAGGGGAGTAACTTCCTGAAACTGATTCCAAATGGTAACTATGGTTAGATTTAGTGGTGTTTTTGTAGCATTTAAAAACGTTGTTGGCTTAACTTAAATATTTTAAAGAATTTTGTATAAAACTAAATTACAAGTTGAGGTTGACATGCTTGTATTTTCAATGGTGTCATATATGAATCATTTCCTCTCTCAAATTGGTAGTGCTTTTTTTTTGCTATCCACATTCCATACACCTTTAAACCATTTAAAGCCCTTTAACAACTTTTTCTGGAGCTTAGATGATGTTGAAACTTCCATCAGAGGTTTAAGATATGGTCACTAGTATGACCGGCCAGTCATTTTAAAGCTAAATTAACTATAAATTTAATTAAAAGTTGAATCCAAATGCAGAGAGGGATAGATAAATGATTCATGAGTACATGAGAATTGCTTATTTCCCCAGGAAAATCCATTTTGGTAGGTATATCCCATGGAGTTCCCTTTAATTTAACATAAAATGAACATATTGGTGTTTAGCTACTTTTTTATGCCCCCCCCCCCCCTTCCTCAGCCTTCTCAGTCTTTGCTTTTCAGTGTTTTTCATATTCAATTATGTGATGGCCTTGATCAGTGTCTCTGGCATTATTTTTAAAGCTCATTGATTCATTCAAATATGATAATTGCTAAGACAATTTTAGGGGAGAACATAGAAAAATCAAGAAAGCAAACTGCCATTTAAACCACTTGATTGGAATAGAAGATCTAGAATTGTTGATCAAAGTTACCACATCACCAAACTAAAAAAAAATTAACAAGCCACAGACTTTGTCTGTGCATTATTATTGGTATGATAGTAAAACACTTATAGTCTGAGACCTGAATACTAAGTAAATTAAGAAATGAACCCATTTGTTTTGTATAAATCACTAGTGGGCTTGATTTGGTCTTTAAGTGCAATTTAAGATCACAGATTGTCTTATATGATCTTAAACCATAAGTAAGACCATTCCTGGTCTAACAGCCAATTAATTTGTCTCACCTTACACATTCTCCTAATGTGAGTAGAGGTGTCCTCTATTGAGAGGGGAGGTATCCCCCATTGTGAGGGGAGGAAACTGCTTGACCACTTAAGTAGATGTTAGATCACTTTTGAACTTAAAAGCAGATTCAGTCCATTTTAAGACTACTGCTATAATGATTAAGATCGTGTAAGATCACTAGTGTTCTTAAATTGCACTTTAAGATCAAATCCAGCCCACTAGTGAATGTATTTTGCTTACTTCTAGGCTCAGAACGTCAAAGTTTGTGAAGTTGAACCAAAAATCAAAGAAACAATGAGGAAATTTAAATTTAGGAAAGAAAAAAATAATGCTGCAGTTATATGTAAGTAAATGACATACTGAGTAGTTATGCCTGTATTATAAAGTCATTGTGTTATAACTTAAAATCAGTTTAGTTGTAATACAAAATTTAGAAAAAATATCAGTTGTTGTGCATGCAAAATTTAAAAAAACAACAAACAAACAGAGTACGTGATATGCAAAAATTTGCAGTTATCTATTTCAGAATTGACGTAATGGAAACATTTGTCATGTAACAACTGATTGTTATGTACTTGGTGTAAATAAATAAATAACTGACGGTATCATAACCTTTTGAAAGCAGGTAATGGTAATGAAAGCATACACACATTTAGGTTGGTATTGCATTTTGAGACATTTCTGTTTATCATTTTGTAGATCGTCCATAGTGCAATCACTTGTTCATTGTTGTTAATATTGCTTTTTTCAGTGAAAATTGACATGGAAAACATGACAGTAGTTTTAGATGAAGAAATAGAAGTGAGTGCCTGTCTCTGCAGGTTTCTACATGTTACCAGTTATTAAGACAATTGTTACAGATTTTTATCTCTAGATTATCAGTTAGTATTTTATTAATCTAGCTTAATTTTTAAATAAAATTGTTGGAATTACGACAAGTTTTTTTTAAATCAAATATGTAGTAACATCACTGGTTTAATAGTTTCTTTTCCACTGTAGCAGATATTAATGTTGTGTCATTTCTTTATTTTTATGTTTGCAGGATTGCACTATGGACGATCTACAAAATGAGTTGCCTGATCACCAACCAAGATTTGTAGTCTATAGTTACTGTTACAATCATGATGATGGGCGTGTTTCATATCCTCTGTGCTTCATCTTTGTTAGTCCTATAGGTACTAGTACTGTTGCAGAAATTATAAATTCTATTTGAAATTATTTTTAATACTTGTTGGAACAAATGCCAGAAAATTCACATTTTGTATATGATGAATAAGCTTTCCTTGTCTTCTTGTCTTTCTTGAAGTTCACGATTGTACGACTGATCTGAATGTAATTTCATTTACTTGTTTTCTTGACTTACTGAATCACTATTGCCGCAGTTGAAATAAGTAGTGATATAAATACTATGACAGTCTTGTATTCTTTAATTTAAACAGGGTGCAAGCCAGAAATGCAAATGATGTATGCAGGCAGTAAAAATGGATTAGTTCAAGAATTAGATGTGACAAAGGTATGGTGACAAGTATGATTATGAATTGTGTTCATAAACTATTAACTCATTAAAATAAATCAGATAAATAGTGTTAGCAAAACTTTCATGCCCCTAGGCAATATAGGCATATTAAATAAAAATTTTACTCAGAATTTTAAAATTAAATTTGCAATTATTGTGTTTATGGGTGTTATGATAAATACTATTGTTGTTTTCATAAATATTTGCATGTTTAACGTTTTCAGTGATCCTCTAAATACAAATTTAAGATTTAAAAAAAATAATTTTATATCTTTATCACTTGCAGATTTTTGAAGTCAGAAACACAGAGGAACTCACAGAAGAATGGTTAAAACAAAAATTATCATTTTTCCGTTAGTGACTGCATTTTTACTGAAAAACCAAGACCGAAAACACAGTGAAATACATATCCAGTGAATAAGTATTCTGGGGCCAGTTTACCAGAGATGAAGATTTACTAGACAAGACATTAGTAGTTAAGTCTTCTTGAAATCAAAAAAATTGGTTCATGAAGTAAAAAAACGCCTTGTGTTGATGAGTTAAGATCTTTCAGTGACTGTGCTAAATAACCATACATACATTAATTTCCTTGTTATTACTTAAAGGGATAACAACTGTTCATTTTGGCCAAAAAATGAATTTTCCTGGGGTAAAGGACAATTTTCCCATACTTCCCAATAGTTAATGAAAACATTCCCACATTCAAAGTTAGTCCCTGGTTTTTTTTCTGAAAAGTTTGGTTTTTTGTAATATTCTCTTAAGAGATTATTACAGAAGTGTAGCCATGTATGGAGGTCACATGATGTGATAGGAAGCACAAACTCCAGTTGTTAACAGTTGTTATCCCTTTAAATGCACAACAGGTACTGCAACCTAAGAATAATTCTCTGCATTCCCATCTTGACTGAACTGCTATTCAAACCAGCAGTTAAGTAAATTGTAATTTTGAAAAAATATTGTCAAGCATATTTTTAAAGTTATTTAAAGTTGTTTGTAAAATTGACCTTAGATGAATGTCTAGTAATCTTTTGACATTTTTCAAAAGCAAGTGAAGTTTAGCTGAAAGTGACCTCAAAAGAAACTGAATTATTAATAATAAAGGTAATTCTTAATATGCTTTGTGAATATGTGTATAGGAGGGAAAAGGGAAGGAGAAGAAAGGACAATTTATTTGGCCAGGGAAGTGCATATTTATCAGTTTTACCTCTATTGGCCAGAGAAAGCTTGGTCAGTTTTTTTTCCTTGTTGTAATGCTACTCTCTAGAACTTGTCTACAGTCATTAATATTTAGTAGGACAACAAAGCAGGTCTATGGGTGATAGAATTGATATTGTGTAATCTTCTCACATGTGTATACCTAGGTCAATGCAGCCCATGCAGATTCTCCAAGGTCTCGGGACTTTTTGTTTAAGTGTTGATTGACACTTACATTAACATGAACTTTCATGAACAGACAATAATTTGCTGTCAGTTTATGCAAAGCTGGTCATTGAGTAATAAAAAACAAAAACAATTTTGTGAATTTTTTTCAATCTTATTAATAGCTTTAAAACCTTCTTGAATACGGGACAAAACTTCTTCAAATAGTTCATTTTATGATGAGTAACCTAAATTGATTATGTTGGCATAAAAAAACCTGCTAATTAGAAAACTTCAAACAATAAATATATCTATATCAGTTAAGTACAAAGTTTTATTTGACAATTTTCTGCATTACCAGAATCAAAGCAATGAATAGCCCCCTCCCCCCCCCCCAAAAAAAAAGCATTTATTGTAAACTGTCAAAAGAAGATAATTCGATTGTCCTGCGGAAGCAAATTTGTCATAGGATTTGATACAAAAAATCAATATTATAAAATTAGAGGTCTGTAACTTTTTTCAGTGACTTGGCAACCTTCTAACACTAATTGAAAACTAGGACAATATCTTATTTGCCTAGCTTAAATGAATTGTCCATTGAGAACTCAGCTGGAAAAATTCTGCATACACACACAGACAAAAAAAATCATTTGCCACAGATGACTTACTAAACTAAGCAACGGATCACAATGATGTTTATAGATTTAGCAAATAAACTGGTTGTCAATCTCCAAATATGATAAAATGGACACATATCCACTCACACAGTGAATGGCTGCAAACTATTTTCATTATACTGACAGACAGCAAATGCCCTACTTATAAACCAGAAATTCAAATATGCAATGTTTTTGCTTACAAATGTTATAAACAATGATAACATGTACAAGTACAAAAATTGTGCCTGAAGACAAGAAAAAAAGAACTATTAATCAAGCAAAAGACTAATATAAATTTTTCTATTTTTTTTTCCTAGTCACTTTGCTAAAAGAATAACCAACTACATTATCTTTCCAAAAATGTCTCAAAAGTGTTACAGAAATAACTCACAAAATTAATGTCTTTAACAAAGAATGTTAAGAAACAACTACTATGATCAACTTTACCAATTTTACATATCAAATGTCTTATAGTATAAAAGCTAAAAAGACTGGCATTTACATAAATGAGGCTTTACCAGGGACAGCCATCACAATTACTTTGAGCAGCACACAAGGAATATCAACTGCAGGTGCAAGGGAAATAGATGACATTGTCTTCCAAACATGTTTATTTTCATTTGATCTATTAGTAATAAGGATGAGAGATCACATTCCTAGTGAATAAGCCACACATTTGTCTCTGAAATGGGATATTTCTGCAGATACGTGAGCAGCTTTGTTCAACATCTCGTTCTTTTGAAAACCAATGTGTACATTCCATTTTGTCGTCTAGTACCTGTCACGGCTTGCATGTCGTTGTCTTATAATTGAATTTTCCCCCGGATGAAACCAAAAGACATGAACCGCTTTTAGGATGTCACAAGCACATATATCATACTGAAATAAATAAAATTTGGCTTGAAAAATCATTATCCCTATATCTGAAAATGTTAACTTACACTTTGTAAACACTTTGTTTAGACATTTCACTAAACTGGATTTCAAACATCTATATTCAACCACTAAAATCAATGACAGGCCTTTATACTGTATCAAATCAGCAAATGTTTTTCTTACTTGCGCGTTGGCTACTTGCTTGTATAAACAACTTCATAACTATTTAAATGCATTAAATCATTACCTGTACAAGTAATAGAAAAAAGAGAGAAGATAGAATGCTAGCTTGACCCATCCTTCTTTCTGAGCTCTGCTTAGTTCATCAGCATTCATTATGCTAGTGGGGTCATACAAGCCAGGGCCACTCATTACGGGCCTATGAAGATACCTACAAAATTATAATTTTCAGCATTATCAAGTAACTTTATATGTTATTGTTAAAGAAAACTGCACATAAAAATATGAAATTGCAATTCATCCCTCTCTTGCTCGCATTTAGTATATGTATGGACTTGTTCTGTAAAAATTGTTAAGTGTTTGTTAAGCCCCCACCCCCCACCCACCCACCCACCCATAAATAAATGTACATTTTATGGAAAGCTTAATCCCCTTCCCCTCAGATGACACATTTCAAAATCCTGGCTAAACCCTTGTTTCTAGCATGACCTTGATATGTATACAAACCTGTTGACATGGTAAGCAATTAGGGGAACATTCAGCAGTACAGTGCCCCACTGCCAGGCAAATACAAATAAGATTGTAAAAAGGGCATGGATCCCATACTCTGGCAGCACCAACTGAAACACAACACACACAAATTGAATGTTATAAGTGCAACTTTCAGGAAGAAAACATTCAATACAATCTGGCACTTTTGACAAAGCAATGACAAAATGAATATGGGCATTTTTACAATCCTGGGCTCCTTTTTTTCCCACCAAGGGTCAAAAATAGAAGTCATTTTTGTGTTGAAATGTGTACTTTTCTTGAAAGTATAGACCTAAAGGGTATAAGAAATGACAATCCCGAGATAAAACCTTGTTTATGTANGGTATACTACAAAAGTACCCGTTAGTTGTCGTAATTATGTCATGTAGTGGCGTCGTAATTATGTCATGTCACTATTTAAAAGCCGGTGGAGGAGAAGGCATCATGCATGCATTTAAAGTATGCAATTGTACATAATCCAAATGAAAAACACAAATAGAAACATTTATACTCTCAATGTACTTACGTGATAAATAGCAAAAAATATCAAAAACGCCGTTAAAATTAGAGCCAAAATGTAACAAAACGCAGCAAATGTGAATGCCATTTCCTCGCCTTACAAGTCTTGAAATGCGCTGAAGATGGCGCTACAAAATGAAGCTCTTTTACGCTGTGTGATGACATTAGCTTTTGCCGTCATGTTCCCTTAAAACATTGACTGCAATCAATTAAGTTATAGTCAAATACTGAAATTTATTAATTTAAACCATGTGTAAAACATTTTCTCCATAAACGCTGAAGCCACCTTAAAGCTCACCTTGACCATGCGTATACCAATGACCAAATAAGCAGGTAACATTAAGACACTGAGAAATAAAACGTTAAAATGTTCGACATAATTATATCAAAATGTCAAGCTCTAGATTAGCAGATGACAATATTTAAATGCTATTAAATATTATGTAAATCACTGAAAACGCGAGGAACAACGTAGAGGGCCCACAGCTAGACTTGAATTTAACACACAGATAGCCACATACACCGAAGTGTGAATAAACTGTTTAAAATTTAACCTATCCCGTCAATGGTTATTCAAGTTCACCATGACGTTCTCTTATGTTTTTCAGACATCACTTTCGAAAGTGAGTTAAAAGTTGCCCCACTTGAATTTCACACCCTTAATAATGCCATAGAAACCTGAAGTTTCAGAAGTTCTTATAGTATCGGGTAGCATTCGAAAGGTTTACAAGAGTTTTCACTATATAGTATTTCAAAATTGAATTCTTATTTTCACAAAATTAATATGTTTCCAGATCTGGCATGGGTCAAGGTGAAAGCTCACAGCAGGTTCAGAATGTGCCGGTACAAGCTGTGACTAGTACTGAAAGTCAGCACACCAGTGAACAGAAATCTCCAAAGCAGCAAGAAGAAGACAAAAAATTAGAATCCTCTCAAAAAGAATTAAAAGACAGCTTACACAAACTTGAACCAAAAAATGAAACTGTGTCCCCAGGAGGTGATAGCACAGTGACATTGGACGTGAACCCCACACCTGAAATAACCCCAACAGTATTTCAACAAAATCCTCTGGTTGCAGCCACTTTGGGTGTGTCCATTTCAGCTGTGTTATTATATCGCCCAAGATACTGGAAAAAGAACCCTCATGTGATTAATACCGTTCCCAAACGGTGTTGGGAAGTTTTAATAGGAATGAGTAAGGCAAAGTTATTTTATATTAAATATATTCTAACTAATTTCACTCAAGTTAGTTCGGTCATCTTTCAGTGCCTTAGAAATTTAGTATTATATTTGATTTTTTGTACAGTCATTTCTTTTAATTACGAAGAAAAATAATTGTAATTCATATCTGTGGAGAAAATTTATATCATTCCTTCTTTTACAGTATATTATGCATTAGCAGTAGAATTGCTGTTAGAGTCAACTGGAAGAAGTTTTAATTCGAACTGGAATCTAAAGATGCATAAGCTGCCAACTAAAAAAGAAGATCAACCATTATCTGTCAAAGATTGATTTTGTTCTACCAAGTACAGCATTTATGCAGGAAACAATAGATCAAAAGACCTTTTTGATAATTGCTTTAAAAACATTTACAAAAAATTGTGCAGGAAACAACCATTGTAGTTTTTGACATTTTGTTCATTGCATGAAAACAGTTTGGTATTCCACAACATTGAAAAGGTGTCACAAATTGACAATGGGATTTGAAACTGCAGGGAAAAGGACCCCATGCAAATCTTGCATTATCACTAGTGTTCTAACAATGGGAGGTATGGCTGGCTATGTTATTTGGGTGGCCAAGAAAAATCCCCAAAATTATCAAGGCAACAAGAAGATACTTTGGTTTGTGACAAGTTATTGCCTGGCAGGAAGTGAGTACATGTCCTTATGAAGAATATGGTTGTCATTATATTTATCTGAACTTTCTAATGACCACATATAAAAACAGTTAAGAACTTTTTTTATTGTGATATATGTAGAGTTGTACATCTTTTATATCATTCACATTTCTCTATGTTAAAAAAATATATAAATAAAAAACAGGTATTCAAAAATCGCTCATATTGGTGGTATGGGTGCCATGGTATATTATTTTCTGTATTTTGCAGCATTCCTTGGCCTTGCTTCCACAGTGGTAATGAGGAGCTTGAGTACAATTTCTAACACAGATGAAGAGATAAAAGAGAACAAGTGATGTCATTTAGAATGAAAGGAACAAGAGTTGAAAGCCTTTCTGTGTAGACCTTTTTAGCTCTATGTTATATTTAGTAACTGTGTAATCAAAGTTTTAAAAAAAGCTCATTAAAACCTACATTTTTGATGTGTTTCACACTTTCTGCAGTGTTGAAAGAGCTAAGTGAAAGGTCAACTTCTGCTTTTTTTCATCCAAGGGGAATATCACTATATGGCAAGTATTTATGAAGAGGTTGGGATTTAAATTATGCAGAAGCTTATTATGACTAACAGGGATAAGCATGATTGAAACCCAACTGTGCTTGTGTTCAGAGTTTGTGAGGAATGCTGTAAGAAGTGCCCTGACGGCAGAGTATGTGATAGATAAGAATGATCAAGGGTATTTCAGCTCTATGGTGGTGACACAGTAACATTGGCTACATCACTAGATAATATCACTGCAAAGCCATCAGCAAGCATTAATTTGAACTGAATTGAATTCACAGAGGCAATTTGTCAATAGGCAACTTTGCCAAGAAATGACGTCATAAGCAATTTCACCTTAGTCAGAATTTGTTTATGTAGACTAGGGTGTAATTATTTATGAAAAAATACGAAAAAGGTTAAATTCCTCATGGAAACCCTTAAAAGGATTCAGGACTAAGAACCCATTTCAGATGGATTTGCAAATGATGTTGTGTTTTTACTTTGTCATACATTTGAAGCTCAATGTGTTGACATCACATTATTTTCAGGAGCTTAATAAATAACAATGTAAACAACTGAAGTTTTTATTTTAACATCATAACACAGCAAGAGAATTTTGTTTTTTCCTGACTGCACACATCCTGTGCAACTTGAAAGATAAATTACTCCACATCTGTACTATACTCTTAATAACTTTGCTTGTTTTATTGCTTCTAGTTCTTTTTCTTCCTCTTCTATTATTGTTTTTCTTTGATTCAGAAAGCGTTGATATTCTTTAAATTGAACTGTTTCGACAATCTGAATTCCCATGGAGTGTGCTACCCCCAAGATGCGTTCGCATACTTTTTTAAGAGGTATTCCTTCAAATGTTGGATCTTCACTCTTTAATCTAGCAATTTCATAAATGTGCTTCAGAGTTACTTTCCCAGCCACTTCTTGACCTGAAATATAATAATTACAAAACTAAAATTATCAAAACATAAATTTGTTCTCTTGTACTACCATATTTTGTTAGGGAAAAGGGCCACGTTATAAAAAACATGACTAAAATTAAACTTTTTTCTTTTTTTGGTTCCATTTTAGTAAGTTGCAAATGAGAAATAGGTATGATCCACCTGACTCGGTAAAAATTTTAATTTGAAATGCCTCTTCGAAACAATACTTGATTGGCTAGCTACAATGGATTACATGTAATATTAACCTGGTCTTGTGGCACCTTTCTTTATCCCTGCCGCTTGCTTTAAGAAATAGGTTACTGGAGGATGATGTATCACCAAATTGTATGTTCTGTCAGCCTGTATAAAAAATTAATAGAGCTAATAAAGGTGAATTTTTTAATACGATGCTGATAAAGGCTCTTTGCCAAAAAGTGCCCAAACATACCTGTCCCTTTTTTTAAACCAAATGTTTCCCCTTGTATTTTTTCCTTTCATAAAACAAATTATCATTGCTTTGAAAATATAGGTTGAAGAGATATATCCATATCAACATTCCAGGGAAAATGATCTACATAACGCCAATGAAGAGTAAAAAGGAAAAATCCTTGTATGACCTGCAATATGTAGAGGAATTAAAAGTCCTTCAAAGAGTAACAATCAGGCATATTATTATTATTGTTGTCTGAACTTTGCTATGGCACGTTTTAGCAAAGGGTAATATCTACTGTGAGGAAGTACACTTAGAAAATTGTTGATATTTAAAATGCTAAATCTAGAATACTTATCTACAAGAAAAACAAAGCTGTCAACATAGCATTTAGAGACAAAAGAAATGTGTGACAGTATACTTGGCTGAGCCTTGACAACTTCTTCAATGACATGCAACAAATAGTTACTGTCAACAGCATTTAGAGACAAAAGAAACAGACACAGACATGCTGAAACTGTCGGCCCGATCGGTCATGACCGGCAAAATCTGTCTGGACCAGTAAAAAATTGGACTTGGTTGGTCCAAAGGACCGACAAGGGTTTTAAGAGTCGCAATTTTGAATTTACAGTCATCATTCAACATACTACACTAATAAAATTATATAAGAGCCAAAGCGTTTTTCCCTTCCATTTCAAACCTATCGCAATCACAAACAAAGTAAGCTACCCTGACAATCAATACTGGTAGTATCTGTCTCAAACGAATAGGGTGATTTTTGGTCCGACAAAAATCCATTCAGTCCGGCAAATTTTTCATTGCTGCCGGTCCAAATGTCCGACCATTCTGAATAGTTTTCAGCATGTCTGGGTGCATTTAATCAGTTTTACATCAAGATACACTATCTGCATTTTAAAATTTCTCAATCATTATTTTACTATTACAAACAAACTACTTATATCTCCCATTTTGGACCTTTAAAAAGTTTTTAAAAATCTTCAAACTGGACATCAATATTCCCTACTGAAATGTACATGAAGACGAGGTGGTGTAAGTGACTGAAATGACTGAACAGTCAATCAGAACCATAGCATTCACTAGAAACTGTATATAACATCATATTCAAGTGGAGGACTGTTCAAGCAATGGTTCTTGAGTACTAGTAAGTGAAAAATTATTTTTGAGGAAAATTTGATTCGTCAGGAAAACTCAGGAAGCCCACCTTAAAGCAAAAACATTTACTTACATTGACTGATACTCTACATGGTAAGGGTGTGCCTTCCTTCATCTTAGATGTTCTAAGGTTGAAGTCCTTGCAAAACTGTGCTATGTTGATGTTTCTCTATAGAATAAAAAAATCATTAGATTTGTTTATTGTCTATGAGTCATTATAAACCCCAATAAATAATTATAATTCACATACTGCTGACTTGTCTGATTCAGAAGTCAGCAGTACTTGTTTTTTTTGTTCAATTTTGAGATACACTACTGCCTGGGGTAGCGCTAACAATTTCTTTCACTTAGCCAAATCACCACATTTTTGTCAATTTATTATCAAAATGGTTATAATTTGGCTAAAACATGTCAAATCAAGCCCTTTTTTTTAGCCAATTTAAGTCAGTTTTAGCATTTGGCTAAATTGGCGAGTGTTAGCACTACCCCAGACTGCCTTACATAAACATGGTACAGCGCATACAGAAACCAAAAACTAAAATACAGTGGAATCAGACTTCCATTACTTCTGAGTATGTTGCATGTGCCCTGCCAATATATGCACGTTGCCAAATAGATGCAGTTATCTTCGATGTGAATTTTTACAATATTAGACAAATAAAACATTGTACTAATTTATTTTCAAAAGGGATACCAAGTTAACTATTTGTACTTCAAAATACAAAATTGAAAGATATTATGACTTGGAAGGTGTAATATTGATGTCATTTTACTTTCTTTTTTCTTTTTCAGTATGAAAATGGCTATTTGCATGTTGATGTACATGTAAACAGAAGGCATAACATCTAGATCATTCTCATTTGCCACGTCCCCTCTTTTTAACACATGATGTTTTGAAATAAATCTTTGTTGAACCAACTCAAGATTTGCTGCTTTTCACTCTTGTTCATCACCAATCATACCTACTTTGACACGACATGAGTATTAAATTAAATGGCACATGCAGCTATGTTGTAATAAGTTGTGGCACGTTCCTGAGGCGAATTGCAAGTCAAAACATTGAAAACGTATAAGTGATCAGAAAAACAACCTGGTTTGTGCTGATAACATTGCACCAATATGATACTACTACTACTAATTTCACTATTAAAGACGGTGCTTCATCCACAATTTATTTATTGAAATTGTTTTGTGATTTAGAACATGGTCTTGTCGGCTTTCAGAACTTGTGGATCTTACCGCCCCAAGCTGTGGACCGAGTGGAGGGGCTGGGGTTGCCATACCGGCAGGGATGGTTGCCTTAAGAAATGTAGATTTTGAACCTGATTCAGCAACCTTTTTTGCTACTTTCATTACTTTGACCCCTTTCTTCGACGCCATGTTGATTTGAAGGATTACAATTTCCCATGGTGCAGTATAAATAAAATATAAGAGTTTCAGTTTATTTCTTTTTTTCCAAATACAGTATTTAAATTTTACTCAATGAAAGTTCACATTCGTAATTTGATAAATGTTGTGCAGACTTTAAAGAAATTTGCCCAGTCCGTCATTGTCTGGGGACTGGGGTAAGGATACAGGTGCTTCAAGATGGCGGACAACGTTCCGAGTGTAGAAGAGCTACGCAAACTTCGTGTCGTGGACCTCAAAGAGAGGCTCCATGCCGAAGGTTTGACGGTGTCCGGTGAGTCTCAGTAGTGTGATGAGTCTATGTGAACAGTACTAGCTTTCATAAAAGATGCTTTTGATTGGAATACTATTAGCATTTCAGCACGTGTGACCGATTATCAGTTTCGTTGCTTAACTACGTTTCAACTACGTCTTCTGTCCTTGGCCTACTCTCCGCCAGCTTCCAGTCAGGATCATCCAATAAAAGACTGCCACTGATAATGACATCTGACGGGGGTTCAGCGCATCAGCTGCGACCCAGTCAGCTCAAGGCGTGTGTGTTTGTATGGACGTGCGTGACAGTCAACAGCTATCACCTGTAGCTAATACTTAAAAGCCTGTAGAGAAAAGCAGTTTTTGTATGTAAATTATTTCAGTAGAGAAGTAGTGAAGACATTGGATGATTTTGTCTGGCTTATGAGTCTCAGTTAGCCAGGCAAAGGTTGATAAGGTACATGTCACATCCCATTTTTCCAAATTTTTTTTTGTTTTATATTGTCAGTGGACAGTAGTATTAACTCCTTCGAACAAGGGCCATCTCCTTTCTGCATGTGGATATGGACCTGCTTTGCATACTATGCACTTTTTTTATTTTTAATTGAGATTTATTCACAACATAATTAATTTTCAAGTTGTTTCATTTTAGGCTTGAAGGAAGCACTGGTCCAAAGATTACATGAGCATTACCAGGTTAGTATGAGCCTGACAGTTTCTTCATTGTGATAGTGCTTATGGTCTATTTGTGGGAATATATGGACACAGTTGAATTAATTATAAATTTCCGTCAGATGGTGCAATCATACATTCACACTGTTTCAAAAAAAAAAAAAAACAAAAAACAAAAAAAAAACTTCACAATCTAGTGCACACGGTTTGTGGCTAAGAGTATATTCTTTAATTTGTAAACAATTATATAGATACTTGAATGATCCATATACGTGCTATGACTGTAGTTTTTAAATTTATATTTGATTGTCATAAGTCATTGAGTTATTGTACATTATAGCAGAAGGCCATGGAAGCGGAACAACCTCCCTCACTACAAGAGGAGCAGGCAAGTTATTTGCCTTATAATTGAAAAATTAATAAAATAAGCAAATAAAATACTTCAGAACAAGTTTGAAAAAAGCATTTATGAAGTATAAAAAAAGATCTATAACTCTGTAAATACATTTTGCCAGGACAAATAATAAAAATATAGTCCAATAATTGTAATTTTGTAAGCAAGTTCAAAATATTTTTTGTTGTTCACAGTGGAGTTGGCAGTGTCTTTATATGCTAGTGTAAGCTTAGTGAATAAAACAAGATAGTGTAATATAACTTTTTGCTTTAAAAATAAATGGTCACAAATGGATCTTAAACAAATCTAATTTTGTTTTTCTCCCCCTAGATGATGCAACAGCCTCATTCTGCATACCTTCCCCAGTCTGAGACATTGCCTCCCATGTTTTCACCACCACAGCAAGCACCAGTTGACATCATGCCACCATCATTATTCTCAATGCAGGGAGGTGGTGACCAAATGGCAATGCCCCAGATGATGGGACAACCAGAAATCCCAGTGTCTGTGCCTCTTCCTGCAGTCATGTCTCATGATGGAAGACCTGACCAGCAGCAGCAGCAGCAGCAACAGGCACAACCTCCCATACAGGCCAATGTGGCCAGTGTTCAGGCATTTCAACCAGAACCCACCCCGCAGGCTTTCCATCAACAACCTGCCCCACAGGTATTTCAACAAGACCTGGCTTCTGGTCCTCCTCCTCCTCAGGCTCCTATGCCTATGCCGGAACCTGTTGTGCCAGCTCCAATGTCTGTGCAGTCCTCTGGTGGCAGTGCAGCCCCTGCACCCTGGGAGGCTGCAGATGTAAAGCCAAGCCTACCTTCCACTATGTCAGCGGCCCCACCACCATCTGTGGCCAAGGTGAGTGACCACCCTGGGTCAGTGACACCACCCTGGGCAACACCCCCAGCATCGCAGGCATCTTCACAACCAGTTCCCATGAGTGCTCAGGGAGCAAGTCCAGCTGAGAAGGTATGTTTTATTCATAAGCTAAGTTATACAATTTTTGAAAATGTTATATAGGGAACAAATAAAAGTGTTTAATAGGATTATAAAAAAATTATAATTTCTGAAAATGTGTGTTGAAATATTAAAGTTTTCAAATATTTCTTTTAGAAACCACAAATGGACCCCAGTTTGATTCAGCTTGCTCAGCAGCAGCGGGCACTAATAGAACAGGTGAGAATCAAACTTTTTTCACATTTTTTGCCTTTTTGTTCGTTTTTTAATGAAGGTGTCACATAAGTATTGGATATATCAGGAGAATATATGCAATGCATGTCTCTTCATTTATACAAATTGCATCTTAAGGAAAGACAGCAAGCAATGGAACAAGAGTTGCAAGGGAAAGCATTACTTCAACAACAGTTATTGGAAGCAGAGAAACAAAAAGAGATGCTAGGCATGCAGCAAAAGGCTTTGTTGGAAGAACAGAAAAAAGAACAAGAAATGTTGGAGCGGGCATTGCAGCAACAGCAGCTGCTTGAGGCAGAGAAACAGCAGCAGATTGTTCAACAGCAAAATCAACAAATGGTTGGTAACGTCAACATAAAATTTAAATATCCACAGAATTATGAAGCTTGGCTTGATTGGTTACTTTGATTTCAGTTACATATTTTGCAAGGAATATCTACAAAATTTTCATGCCAGTCATGATATATTATGTCAGTTTTTCATATGGATGGATTACTTGGGTCTTATTGTAACTTTCACCACTGACTAGCATATCATTCTGAATGTATTATTAATTTTG